CACCCATTAGCTTGTGCCTTTAGTGATAGACTATGCAAAAAATAATAATCTCGGAACGGCACTCACCAGACTCTTGTGGTAAAGAAACCAGCACCAAGAGAGTATCTTGGTGCATGTTTGCCGTTATCTAAACTGGTATTTGGGGAAGACTACCCTGTTACGCCAGTTTACGATAAAATCAATTCGAGTTTACAGGAATTCAGGTCGAACCAAGATATCATGGAGTACACATGGATATATTAATTTGAGCTTAATTAAGGTGACAACACTGTACTAACTAGAACTGTCTTATGTTAGAAATTTAATCAACGCTAAAATAGTAGTCATAACAATTCCCTCAAATTTATTTAAACAAACAACCTTTTTTTTGTATGGATCATGATTTCCGGAAACTCCTCCCTGACAAATCATTTTAGATCGAGATTCAAACGTGTCTCCTTCCGCCGCTGTCCACGTGTAGTTAGGACATCGACTCACGCAAACCTATAATACAAAATGTTTTTACAAAAGATGAAGGCACACAGTCCGCAGATTTGTAATTAAAATATAAGACAATCACTTGGATGCATAATTGGCTTGTAAGCACTTAAGAACTATTAAGTGTTACATGAGATACAGTAACCCGCTAACTGATAACACTATTTTAAAAGAGGACATTGGTTCGAAAGGAATGTCTAATTCCGATCACTCTTATTACCCAAGAACGGTTAATTCAGTGATGGACTCTTTCATCAGCTAACCAATACAAAACATTTATAACACATTTGTCCACCCCTGAAAATGGTATAGCATGCGTCAACTTGGCATGAAGTATAACAGGCATGTAATGGTAGAGATGGCATGATAAAAAGAAACATTTTTTCCCAAAATAATGATAGTAACACAATTGTAAATTTTCAGGAAAATGTTTGCAGCGAGATATTTCAACAATAAAAATTTCACCTGTTCCGTTGGACATCCATATTCAAGGACCAAATCTCCAATGTCAAGACAGGAAAGCATGTCAAAAAAGAAGAGGGATCCTTTTTCTCTAGAAAAAGAGCAAAAATAATCGTCACTTTTAGCAGATATTTTATCAATGTTTTGATCACAGTCATGGCAGCACCTTAAACGTACGCCTACATATTAAAAAGGCCAAAAATGGGTGGCTTTTAAGTGTAAATTGTGCTTGGGTATGTAATTGCCAGAGGCCCTGACATGCAAATGAGTAAGCATACATATTCGGTATGGCATAACCTAGGAAGATTCCCGAAATCACGATAAAACCAACCAGTATCACTGGACAAACAAGTCTTACGGGTAGTCTAAACCGCAGATTCTCCCACGTGAATCCTTTGGAAATACGATTCTACGATAATCACCCATTAAGAAACCTAAAATTAATTCAACAATTAGTTAAAATAATACACGAAAGAGTGCGACTAATGAAAGTTAACTCACTCCAACCAGCGACGCAGGCAAGTAAGAGAATACAAATGAGAAAGAGAATACAGCAGATGACGTCAGTGCATGACCTACGAAAAGTCATTAAAAACAACTTTCAAAAAAATTATTGGCTCTCAAGGTGCGGCAACTAACTTACCGCTTTTTAACAGGACCTTCAAACTCTGGATCAAATTTCCGGCCGCCATCTACTTGAGAAATAAACAGGTTTATGTCCTTAAATTCCAGACAAATAGAGAAATAAACAGGGTTTGCGCCACAGGAAAAATAACTCTCGTTCATAAAGTTTCTCAAGTAAATAAAAACGCCGGTCGATAATGAGTAATTACTCCAAACAAAATAATAGACTCCAAACTACGATATCTATACATTTCGAACAGCGAGCAGTTCGACGTAAGCGGATACTAAGGCGTGAGAAATACCCCGTGCAAACAGCGCAAAAAGCAAGCCCACAAAGTGGTCTAATATCAAAAATGGCGACATAAATGTAACTTCAAGAAAGCAACTAACACAATTTAATCGGTTGATACGTAAAAGTGTTTCATGGACAAAGGAAAACCTCCGGTATAACTTTTGTCCATACATGCAAAAAACACCATTACGCAAATGTCTTAAAGTAGTTAAAATCTATCTTGGATACAAACAGCATTTGTGCGTCAGTAAACCAATACCTTGTTGCAAATCTATTAGCGAAAAAAGCCACCAACCGTCAAATATTCGTTAGAAAACAACGATTGATTTTAAACGAAATGACAAAACAATTACCGATACTTGTAGGAGACGCAGCTATTTGGCTTGACAAAGTGTTTTCAGAAGTTACTGCGTCTACGAATGTTAGTTTGAATTATGGAATTACCTGATCGACCCTTAGAAGACTGACGCTGTCCCATCAAATTCGACTAACGGCTATTAATCAATTAGAAGTATTCGAAATGCCACCAATTTCAGCCAATAGTAAAATAGTAAAAATAATTAGCGGGAATTTAAACTACCGCTCTAAGCTCCCCAATGGACACGGTATTATAACCATCCAGCATGGCAGTATTCGTATTTGGAAACCAAATGTAAGTTTTTTAGTAAAAGAGAAAGTACTTTGGAAATGGAAGTTGTGTACATTATCCAAAGATGATTAGTAAGATTCAGAGAGAATCGAGTAAGGTCTCCAGAGGTTCAACAGAAGCAAAATCAGAAAACCAGAATGCTAGCAAAAGCACCAACAGAAATGGTAAGCATGAAAAAAACTTTGTGTTTACAGGATTTTCGAAATGAACAAACATAAAGTTACACTCATTTTTTACCAAATCATAAAATTTTTGAGGAATTGTTGCATTAATTTTGTTCACTACATAACATATTCGACTGAAAATTAGGTTCTCGATGTTTTAATAAAACGAAAATGCAGTATCATAGCGTAGAGCAGATCAGAACTTTGGGACATATATTAGATAGTAGACAGATTTTTGCACAGAAATGTGGTACAAACAAAAAAATTATCAATGAAGCCTCTTTTCTACAATTTACGATTATATTTTAGATGAAAAATAGCTAGCATTTTCTTGTGTAATGGAATTTGTCAAGTGTGAGTACAACTGTAAGTGTTCCAAAACTTTGTGCACTATGTTTTTGCTCTTAGAATAGATGCATTAAATGATCCAATGAACTCCAAGTGTGATTTTTTTTAAAAATATTATTCACAGTCGATTTTATCCAGATGTGCTGTATACGAATGACATTCTCCAACATGTTTCTCGGCTGAAATAGATACCGACTTTATATCGAAGTGAAGTTGAAAAGCTGTTATGGAAACTACACCAGGGTCGACAATATGCGCTGACACGACCTAACCAAAAGAAGATTAAAAAGGCAGATGGCGGGTAGCTCAAATAATTTATTGACGTAGCGGCGGTGTGTGTATATGTACAAGAGAGTAAGTCTGTTTATATAGGATCGACTAAACACCGAACCCTAAACAAACACAGCTCTGCAAAGCAACTTCACGTAAATCAATTAAACTATGTTCGCTCACGTTTGCTACTAGAGTTAGCTCACGCCTGCAAAATGTAATCGCCTGCTGCTTGCCAACAACCGCATCCAGATCGAAGTGGTGCGCACCACCATGTAAGAATTAGCCAAAAGGATACGCATGCATTTTGAAAGCTGCTATGGTGACAAACAAACTCTTTGTCTATTAAGGCCGTAGTTCAACGCAAACGTCGGTTTGCCTAGGATGTATCCGTGGCTAAGTACTATCCTCTCCTATTCAACCATCATAATTTGGTTATTGAAAAATAGGATATCATCCAGAATGCTGTGCATTAGACTTTTGCTTTTAATTAGGATGAAATAAACGAACAAATGAACTCCAAGTATGAGTTATGCGGCGGTATGCCCGTTTAGCCCCATTAAGGCCTCAGTTCAACATAGACGTCGGTATGCTTGGGGTGTATCCGTGGCAAATTACTACAGTTTGATGGTATTAATGTTTCACTTGATGCGTTTCCTCAGTTGAAGGATAAGGCCGAGTCTTTACTCTTGATGTAGCCGTACCTCCCGAAATGGATCGAATAATTGTTGTTGCTAGTTGCTTTTTGGCATTGTCTTGCAACTTTGTAGTGGTTAAATAGAACGTGTATGGTCAGGGACTCAAGGTAAAAATAATTTTTAAGTACCCATTTACGACGCTTCGAGACATATTCACTTGAGACAAGTAATCACGTTTATATTCTGTGCTAATGTGCTCCTTTGTCACTTTTGTGTAGTCGATACAAAGTCTGGTCCAGGAGGGATTGTGCGCCCCCAAAATTTCACCAACGAATACGGGTGAGTCTTTATTCCTGCATGTCGCGTTACTGTGGCATGTTCCACCTATCCACCTTTATTGCTGTGCTTGAACGTCGAAGCTTCCAAAGATTAGTGCCTCTGAATGATTGTCAAATAATTATTGTGAAAGGCTCTTCTTCGCGCTGACGAGTTTATTGTGGCTAAAGACTACGTTTGAAATCCGAAAACTTGTGAGACGATTAGAAATTGAAAAGACACCTGTGTTGAGTCAATGTCAGGACGACGCATTTCGTGTTGATGTCCATAATTTATTTATCATTTTACTATGACTAATTACATTCTGCTATCGGACCTCATGCTATGTGGCATCATATATGCTGAGAATTACATAACAGCAAAATTAGTGCTTTATTTATTGTTACCGTATACTACATGATGATTTTAACTTTTTTCTTTGATCGTACATCTGTTAATTTTTTTGTTTTTTTGGGTAGGTATTTTAAATCATTTTTTCCTAATTTTTTCTTGATTTTTTTAAACAAATGAATGTTTTTATAAGTATTACCTTTTTTGCCTTATAAAGATGAAAAAAATTATTTTTTAATTTTCGTTACATTGTGTTCAAATGAGGTAACCTCCCTGGCGCTATTGCCCAGTTTGGGTTACGGAGCTAGGGGGTGTGTTTCGTGTTTGTACCTATTTAGGTGGTGCAGTGGTTTTTGCTGGCGCTTACACTCTCTGTAACATTTCTCTTTCGAGGTGTTAGGTTTTCCACAATGCCTGTCATGCCTATTTTCAACAAGCACAAGCAACCTCGAGAACACATTGCGGTAATTTATGACAATTTGGTGGTACGTTTGTCTTGATTAGGGTGTTATTTTTTGCTTAAGGTACTTGATAATGCCACTAAAAACGAAAAGGATAGGCGGAAAGCTGTTGAAGAAATCGCGAGGGCTTTAAATGCTTTAAAGGAAACCCTAACTGATCGGTCCGATGCCCGTGTGTCTGGCAAGGATAAGGACCTCGACTTTACTAATGCTGAGCGATCTCGTATTAGCGAAATAGTGTCAGACGTAACCCAGGAAATTATCAATCGGGATATGTTTCCTCTTATTCTCGCTCATCTAGATGCAATAGAATTTGAGGTAAGGTAAACCTAAATCTCATTTTCAGAGTTGCAAACAAATAGTGGAACTTTTTGGTCACATACTCCGCAAACCTGCCCGTCCTTTCAACCCAATGGTGCAATATCTCTGTGAACGCCCTGAATTGTTGGCAACTCTTCTTCAGGGATATAACACACCTGAAACTGCCATTCATTTTGGTGCCGTAAGTTTAATTTTTTATTGCCTATTATTGTTATTATTATTATTCCTAATACTGTTTTTTGCCTTAACGATGTTGGTCCAAATGTATCCACGTAGTAGTTTTGTTCACGATATCATTAGCCGTTATTTAATTACATTTAAACGTTCATTAGTCAAACTAGCAATGCCTTACGATCAAAATGAATTCAATAATATTACCGTTCAATGTAAAATCAATTATTCAAAATTGACCTCCCGTTTATTACTCAAGGGAAAATGTTGGGTAAACTCATATGTAGTCATGTTTCTTTATGCTATTTCAGTTTTCCTCTGTAGCATTGGCATAGTTGGTGTTGGCATTATCGACTCTTAGATAACTTCAGTCATTAATAAAACCTGATAATTTTCACGTTTTCACCCGTAGTGATTGTTACTAAAATAATTCCACAGATATTACGGGATGCTTGTCGGAACGATAACATCACCAAGTTGGTACTCGGCTCACCTGGCTTCTATGACCTATTTGGTCATGTACAAGGCACGGCATTCGATATTAGCTCTGATGCTTTCGCCACGCTCAGGGATCTGTTAACACGACACAAGCCGGAAGTTGCCGACTTTCTTGTACACAATTATGACGTCTTCTTCAAGCACTATCTCACCATGCTTACCTCTGATAACTATGTCACTAAACGCCAAGCCCTCAAGGTAAGTGCCGAGCTTACTATTATATTCAGAAAACTGACATGCTTTTAATAAACTTTTGATTTTTTTCCCCTGGTTAGGTAGGGTATGTATTCGTCCATTGGAAAGTGTAGACATTTTTCTATTATTTAGATACATTCGGATCCATAATCTCGATTTCTATGTGTCTTTGTGTAGCCCATATTCGCCTTTCGTTTTGACTGTATGGATTTTGTTGCAGTATTTTATTACCTAGTCACATTCAGCTGGCAAGCATCTTGGCTTTGTGCATCACACGGAAGTGTAAACTCACTTAGCCACACTTGAATACCAGTATGAAAACAGTCTACTTTGCGCTTTGACTGCGATTCGTTCATGTGGTGATTGAACGCGTCAGGTGCACTTTTTTATTGAATGGTACATGATCAAACTTCTAGTAAAACGCCTTTTGGGACGTAAAGTTTTTAATACCTTGTGGCTTGTAATGTAGTTTTCGTTGTAGTGTGATCTCAAGCTTTATCTTAAGTTACAAGAATTGTGTTGTTGTAACTATTGTTTGCGGCTTTCAATGGACAAAGGTTTAAATTTGTTCTACTCGGTTTCATACCGAGAAACCCAGATTCTTCTATGATGTCGTATATCACTGGAATGAATTACCTGTTACGGACACTGTTTATGAAATAAACCACTCCTTATTCGGTCAAATTTTTGGTCGTACGAAATTGCCGATTAAATTCGTTAAGTTAACCAGCTTTCGTTACACGGTTAAGTAACTTTTGAGGCAGATGTGGCGATTTAAACGGTTGTTTTTGCAACACAGAGCCTCCCCTGTCCTTTTAACGTTGTATATCATCGCTGTTTTCGAATCTCATTTTTCACTTGAAATTGGTGCTCTGCTCCCATTTGTGGGCGGCAATGTTGCATAATACGGGTTATAGTGCTTCTCACAAGGGGGCGATTTGTTTGGAACTTTTCAAGTTTCTCATTATGAACCTTAACTGGGCAATTTGTGGCGATGGGCTGTCTTTTTTTTCCAAGGAAATGGACGGGATACCGCGACAATAGGAGCTCCTCGTGAAATGCAAACTTTATTTTGGTCTTGGCTATGTACATTCAGAACTAGAAGCGAAGCTCGTCCGGTTTTGATGGCGCATCGTTAAGTTCATGCTTAGTGAATATTTGCTGTGCAAATGTCTTGTCATTTGCCCCTCTATCGAAGTTGCCTAAGTAGCAAACTAATCAGCCTGTGCATTAATGCGTGCATCTTTCCTGCAGAAAATTAATTACGTGGTACCGTTGTATGGTTCCGTTGTCATCATTTGTAATGTTTCGAACCATGTTTGCAATGTATTGGTAAACATATCTATCTGTTTAGACACATCACGATTTTTCCGTTTTCAATTTATATCGCATCGCGTTGTCGTTGTTCCCCATTTTCAAGTGCTTAGTCGATGTAGTTTAGTGTGAACTCTGTGATGCTCTGCGACTGTCATTCTAGTGTAAATAAATTATTCGTGCAACGCCTTACACCTAATTCAAAAGTATTAATGTTAACGGTGTCTATAAAGGTTTTCCCATCGTTATGCATGTTCGTTAGATTCGTGGCATTAAATCTGCAGCCATTGGCTAATGAATTCGCTTACGTCGAAATCTCGCCAGGAACATAAAGACCGGCAACTTACCTTAGCTCATTTTGGCTTTGTATAATTATGAATTATAAAAGCTGCCAACTGTTAATGGATGGTCTATGTTTTAAAAGAGGGGAATATTACTTTATAAAGCTATGAATACCAAGGCAATTGTATCGCCCTCATTTTGCTGCTGCATGGTTTACCCGTAGGTAGAAATGCAACGGACTAGGATTTGATGTTATCACGTGTGATCCAACAATATGATAATTTGGTTCTCTGTGTGGTGACGGTTTCGACCCAGCCTATGGAACACTGTGAAAGCTCGTCTTGCACATCCTTTGTGTTAATGTATGCGGTTTACGCCCACACACGCATCCTCACATTATTTTCTCTCAACTCACTCTGTTGAATGGGAGCACAAGAGTTACGTCACAGGGTTGCACCAAAAACCCCCCTCCGACGGACCAAAGTGCGAGCAATAAAAATTTCCCGATTTAGTTCTTAGCAGTGCCATAGGAATGATTTCTTACAGTTTCATGAACCACTTCAAAATGGCAGAAGCTGGTCCTGTACCTTTAAACATCTCAGTATTTCCTGCTATTTTTACTCGCTTACTTCAGGCAGTCGGGTTCATGTGAGCCGTCCTTGGTAAGTTATCTAGCCTTGTAAAATTCAAAGTTTCCTCGCTTTCACAAAATTCTATTTATCCATTTCACTTTATGCACATGTACGTTACCTACAACCCCCTAATCCTAAATGACATGTGGTTTGTTGGTAGTTTAAATCGGGAACGTTAATTAGGCACGCAAGCTTGACTCTTGTGCTAAGGAGAGCCTAACTGAAGATGTGTCGCAACGCTTGGTGACAATCCATACTGCTGAAGACCCAATATTCATGTGTGCCAATTTTCCCAGTAAATTACCGGTGGTTACCAAGGTTCTTTTCCAAACATGATTTGTCACTAATAAAATTAGTGATCTTAGTTGTCGTGGCCGTTTTATTGCTTGCTGTACACATGTCCCGTCCGGTTCCCTTGTTATGGTCCACTATTTCGCTCCACACCAGAATAGTTCTGGTTTTACATCGAAATGCAAAATAGGCAAGAATTTGGTCCCTCTAATTCTAGGTAGTTGGTGTGTCGTTTACTCCCTGGGGCACTATGGTGGTCTTGCATTGTAGTTGTGGTCTTCAAGATAATTCGTTCATATTAATTACCATTTTCTGTCAGTCAGATTTGCTGAGGCTTAAAAGCTGTGCAAACGCATTTTGCGATTCTTCGGTTACTGTGGCACTGACCATTACAGGCTTTTTGAACTTAAGCAACGGCTTTGTCATTTCTTCACAGCTTCTTGGCGAGCTCCTACTGGATCGTCACAACAGCGAGATAATGAACCGGTACATTGCCGATCCCGAGAACCTCAAACTTATGATGAATTTGCTCAAGAGTAAAGAGAAGCAGATTGCTTTTGAGACCTTCCACTGTTTCAAGGTACCCTTCAGTTACATAAAATTGTTCTGTGTGTGTGCAAGTAGGTTCGATGTCTTAAAACTAAGTTGCACCGTTTTCATTAATATAGTGACTTAAAATAGTGGTGATTGATGCCTGTTGTAGTTAACCAAATAAGTTTGTTTGAATGAATGGAAAATAAAACTTTAGTAACGGTGACGCCGTCCACGCCTTCCTTTGCCCGTGTGGGTTTAGAAGATCACGAAACACCTGAACTGTCATCTAAACCTTTGCAGAACTGTTCTATGGCATGCTGGAAATACTTTGGCTAATTTTGCCATGTCTAACGCTCCTTGTCCCTCTAAAATTCGATATTGTAATGCCTGACCACTTTGTTTTCTACTTCATGGATAATTGACTACTGAAAAAAAGCTTTACCAATTGGAACCGGCCTCATCTCATTATTAAACACTTATTTTCCTCTAAAAATTTTTAGTGACTTAAGAGATTGTGTGTTTGCCCGTTAATCCAGATTTCCCTTAAACTTATCCTCTTACTGCTTGGGTCTGGGTTGATTATTAGTGAACAAATTAGGTTGTCAGAAGAATGTGAATCATTGTCAAAGTACGTGGTCTCTATCTCTTGTTGTGTTATATAAAATGACCTGGTTATGCTGTGGTGGTGGTGGTGTGTGTGTGTGTACAGTGGTAAGCCACTGTCGTTGTAGCGTTTGAGATTCCTGTTTAATTACTGACTCACAGATGCGAATGGAGCAACGAAGCATAGGTCGCTTTTACCGTTGGTCTTGCGATTCTAGTGCGTTTACTTAACAGTTTGTCTGTGTTATTTGTACTCTTAAGAAAAGCCAGACAGTCCCAGAATAAGGCACTTCGTCGTGTAAGGATTAAGCAAACGAGACTTTTACTCGACGAATTCCGTATTTTATTACGGATGTAACTTTCTGAGACCGCTTATTGGTGTCAAGGGGAAATACAAATGGTCTGCTTTGAAATGTTCTCTTAGGATTTGATTGCCATGATCCTAAACGTCCATCAAAATAGCAAAGTTGATGTGGTATTTTTAGCTGAATCAATACTGGTGCACAGAATTACGGTGTAATCTAGAGCTGGTTGCGATAATGCATTTGTGTAGGCTATGAAAGAAGCTCGAGTTGCCTAAGTGTGTTTCTGATTTCCGTTCAGGTATTTGTTGCAAGTCCAACGAAATCGCGGCCCGTGCACATGATTCTTTACCAGAACCAGGACAAGCTTATATCCTTCTTGCAAAGTTTCCAGACCGATAGGTCCGACGATACACAGTTCAACGACGAGAAGCAATATCTGATTAAGCAAATTCGCGAACTTAGGCCACTCGCACCTCTGTGATTTGTGCGTTTATCCTTGTAATCCCCTCCTGCCTACTTGCCTTACCCTACATTCCTCCTCCTACCCTGTACATACTGTTCTTCCGCCCCTGTTACCATTTCCTTTTGTGCGCTTTCTTTAGATCGCTTTATCCTAGTTCCTCCTCATCATCGTGCTACACTCCTACTGTGTGTTTCTACAGTAGTGATGGCGTGTTTTGGTGGTGCTGGAAATCAATATTTTTTGTGGTTATATCTAGCTTATGTTAACTCGAACTATTGGCCCAAAATATCTGCGGTAGCTCATTTAATTCCCATCTTCTTGATAATTATACCTCACAGGTCAGCACTTTTGATGGTGCACTGACGTCATGTGTCTTTATGTTTTGAAAAGTGGCTTTAGGCAATAGTGCATTGAGATAATTACATTCGTTTTGAAAAACAAATTAATGGTGGGATCCGCCACTACGTACATCCCCCATTTTTTAAACTTGCCTACAAACACCTTATCGACATATTTGGGATACGGTCTGCAACAGGAGATTCCCACCCTTGAAATTATGCAAATTACGACCCACCTTTGGTTCATATCCTTTGATAGGTGTTGGGACAGCCAGTATCGAATTTTTAGGGCTCCGTGGAACGCCATCAGTCATTGCACATTAGGTTATTAGTCTGACACGTGAAGGATCTAGTCGCTTTCTCGCTTCCCCGTGGCCCCACTGCAGTTCCCGGTGTTCAAGCATCGCTAGTCGACGAGTAGTAGCAGAGCCCCGCTTCCTCTGAGGCGACGTCTCGTTTGGACCTCGTGTAAAGCGCCTTCAACTTGAGCAGTGTATGGACAAAGTGCGATGAAAAGAGCTTTGAGGCATTCTAACTAATCTAAACGGGTAGGTAGTGCTTGAGTGTGTGGACCAACAAGCAAGTGCATTGATGATTATAGTAGAGTGCAAGGGCACCATTCGTGTATCGGTCTAGTCACTTGGCGCAGCCACACATTGGCAAAGCAAGCATGACGTATTAGCAAGTACTTGGGGTTGGCTTAAAAGTACGTTGATCACATCCTACACGCATGTTCTGGCGTCAGCTGCGAGTAGTGTGTGCTTGCTCACGCCGATGCTGGCGTCGGCATTTACCTCAATGGGTCTAGTCACCCTGTGAAGTCGGGAAACCGCTCTTGGCTTGCATCACTAAAAATATGGACACATTGTTGACCAGAAGGTGATACAGCCACATGCAAGGTATGCGATGGCGCCTTTGTGTTTAACCAAATTCCCCCAGTTATAGAGTTTTCTCATTTAAATTAATTTTGGCTTGCATCACTTACCGTCACATTGGACCTACCCATATATTAAGTAAGCAGTTTGTCAATATGTGAAGCTTACTAGAGCTAACATTTTGGCCTTCGAGAATGTGTAAAAACCATTTTTCTATAATATCGTTCTTTAAACATTTCAAGGGGTGTGAAAGAGTGTGGGCATGCTTTGCTTAAGTATACGTCCTCGTAACTTGGAACCAAACCGAGATGAATGTGCTAATTTTATTTTCGTTCTAAATAAGCTCTGACAGTAAATTTATTGTTTCGTGGATTTGATTAATATTCCTTCACCGATTGCCAAATACTTCCAGTCGTAGATTAAAGAAAAAGTGCATTTTTAGATAGCCTGATTACTTGGACAGCTTCGAACAAGATCCTGATGAATTCCGTTTTTTGCCAATTGGGAACGCTCAGGCCCAGCGAATGCCTAATCACGATAATCAGGCATATGCCGGATTCCTCTGAAGCCATTTTTTAATAATCTCCTGGTTACAGCATGTAGACGCCTTTATTTACTGCGGCCACAATTGTGAGAAACATCAACTGGCGCAATCCACTTGCTAAGTTAGCTAGCATTTATTCTACGATGATCAAGTGTATGTTGACGTCTGATTTAAACCCAAGCATTTGCCACGCATCGCCAAAGGACGCCCAGTTTAAACATTAGTCCATGGTTCCGTTTCCGAGTAAAGTAGCTAGGCAAAGATTTTGAGTGCCGCATTAGAAATAGTAGGAAAATGGTTTCGAGACAGGCCAAGCTAGTGGTGTTTTAGGCAAGAATAGACTTATCGGGGTCGCCCTTGTTCAACCGCCACACTTCCAGTCGGAGTAGGAGCTGTGATTGAATTCACCTTTTAATCATGGAGTGGAAAATAACATTTCCATGTGCTTCAAAAGATCCGAATTTTTTGCCTGCAATAAGGGCTGAAATGGAGTTCGCCTTTGAGGAATGACCTTGGTTTCAAAACTGGCACTACAACCGACGCCAGGTTGTCCTGCAGTATTGGGCTTTTTGTTTTCATTAGGATAGGGGAATCTAATCCAGGGTGGTTTGAAATGGATTAAAACCACCCGAATACCAGTAGGTGGTCGTTTTGGTAACTTTCACACAAACATTATAACCCCATGTTCTGCCACGATTGCTCCTCTAGTTGATGAGTCCGATTTGGCCGTAGATTGTGGGTACACGTAAAAGCCCTCAGTCATGTCTGCAGCAGCTGAACGTTAGCCACCGTCATGATCAGTCGTGGTGGCCTTTTGGATAAACCAAGACAACCCACATTTCAAGCTAATGAGGCCTTCCCCCACTAAGGCCATGTGGCGGTTCGGTTTGAGCCTCGTTGTGGAGGTAAATTCAAAGTTTTGCAAGACCCAGACGTCGTACCAGTTGTCATGAGCGGAAAAACATCATGAAGACATTCCAGTGAAGCGCATATCTGATTTTGCCACATCACGTTCTTGAGAATACCATGTGATAAATTGGTGAGAGTAACAATAGACGCGTGGGTAGGTTTCATCTGCCCAAATTGCTTCAGGATTGTTTATAACGTGAGTACAATTCGTGCAACAATTTCAAGCCGTTCCTGCGCCCTGCTTTAGTAAGAACTTCTAACCCCCACTACCACTATAAGAGTTAGGGGCATCTACAAAAGTAAAAGAAATTCATAAAAGTACTTAAAGCACCTTATTGGTTCTGCCACCGAAGCCAAATTCGAATGCATAGCTACATCGGTTATGTATGCACGCAGGTATTCAACAGGCAACTGACAATCAAGTCCTGAGGCTCAATCGACGAGAAAACGTCAGGTATGCTCACTTCATTTTTCAAGTCTCTAACACGGATCCTACCATCAAAGTTAATAGTTTTGTGGACGATTAAGTCGCAGTTAATTTTCAAAAGTTAAGACAAACCTTCAAACAAGACCAAAATATAGTCAACGTGTATCTTAGAGTAACACCACATTCTAGCATTTAGTTGAACTGAAAGTCGTTATTGAATGCTTCTTAATTCTATCATTAATATGCAATTGAACTCCTCTTGTCAGATCAGTCGAGCTTCATAAATTTCAACTGAAACGAGGTCTTCCATGAGCTTAATTCGGAATTATCTATCCATCCATCACGCATCATAAACACAAACAAAAGGAATTACCCTACGATTTTACGAAGATTTCAACCTCTGCCATGTGCGAAGAGTGACAATGCATCAATTAATTTCTCGACCCATCCTGCTTCCCGAAATTTGCACACAGTAGGCTTTTCAGGTTTGGTGAATTCGAAAGGACAATTGCCATCTCAACAAAGCTTGAGGAAAATATTTTTGAACCACAAGTAGCCAGACCACATGTTTCTATACATTGATGTTGATAAAAAAGGAGTCAGTGTGGTGGATATGGTAAGGCCTGATTGAAAGGTTCGACCCAACAGCCTTCACGACAAGAGTTAACGCTGCCACGGCTGTCTTCGGAAGAAGAAATAACTAACTGAAAAATTATTTCCTTCATGCGACTATTTCAAATTTTTCGCACGTGTGTGCAGAGTTGTGGCACTCAAGCGGCTGCAGATCGAGGAGACTAAAGCCCTTGCTGCACAAATTTGCATTTTCCATCATTGCCACATGCAGTGCTGTCGGAGACACCCTCGCCACAGCCCAGCTGGCCCACGACACCTGAGCTCTCTTGCATGAATGCAGGCAGTTCTGGGTGTTCACTTTTTCGTCCGTTGGCCCTGACCTTATCACAGAAAAATTTCACTCATTTAGGCAAAAGAGATGGCACAAACCATCAACTCGTGGAGGATGGTGCCGCCTTTGACTGGTCGACCAGTCCGACATATTAACTACTTTTAAATTAATCAAGGTCTGTTAACTGAACCAAGGCTTTAGTGATTCCATGAAGGTTAGAATCTAACCACATCAATTTCACTTTGTACTGAAATAACTTGGGACATTCCAGGATGGATGCTTACAAAATAGAAGGCGAATACAACGTCACCACTGATTATCGAGGGGAATAATGATCGCATTATGTCACGAAACTTATCAGTGACGTTTATGCAAGATGATCAAGTTCTTCGCCGTGTCAAGACAGGCTATGGCGACCTGGTGACGTCGTAATTGTGCAAGTAAACGAAATGCAATTACAATAGCATTGAATAGCAGCCCATTTTTTGAAACCCATTAAAATTGGCCTTCTCATCATCAAATCTTAACACGGCATTCTTCCCTATGCGAGTACTACATTTGATGTCTGGTTTGTGATTGTCTCAGCAAACACGTCACGACGACTTACCACCTGTTGCTGTGACTGTTGTCTGTTGTCAGTGTTGTTGTATTTGCCAACATTTACACGCTCACTGTTCACGTGCGGTCGGTGTCAAATGTAAGTTTAGTTGAAACGTGAGGTCGGACGGGTTGGTGTCACGTAAGTCTTGCCTTGCATAGAACACGGTTGCTCCACAACGGTTGCCACCATGCACATTGCATGCCGTGCTTAGGGTAATTTTGTCTCAGGTGTCATTTAACAAAGGCACTGCATTTGTGGTTTGACCATTTTTAAAAGTAACAGTCTGAAGAGGTAGCCGGGCCTGGAAATTTCCGCATTTTGGAGTATTTTCAAATCAAAGCAGCTTAAAATCTTTAGCTCTTTCACGATTTTTTCACAACATCAATGCCACACACAGAAAAGCACGCACTGTGCACTACAGCGGCATGCGCTGTGCACAAAGCTTTGAACGTCGTAATAGATTTAAATACTAGAAAAAAAAACTGGAATTTAAATGCCACAGAATTACACCGGTTTCAAGACACCGTAGCTGCACAATGGCACATTCGGTAGGGGATTTCTTGGTGTTGCTGAATTAATGAGAAAAGATGAGACCTTAACGTGCGCAGAATCGCCTTTCGCCAGAAATGCCAAAGTGTTTCTTCGTGTGAAACCAAATGCTCCGTAGCAATGATAATGACCTCCAGATTTCTTAAAATTTATGCGCTGATTGTCAAAAAGGCGCTTTGTTTTGGACGAAAACAATGTTAGCGGTGTGGAAATCAAAATAGTGCCATCGAACCTAAACTGACAGATTCTTTGGATAAAACAGTGGATGAGTGGGTATGAAATCTTCTGGCATGAGCATAAAGGTGGATAACAGTGCTCTCTAAAGTTGACCAAGCGGTGATTCTGGTCTTGCATTGGTTCATCCCTTCCGATCAATGATCGTTCTGATGAACTGCGTGTAGATCAACGGACAATGTAAAATTGACTGGAGAGTGGAATAAGCCCGACAAATTTGTGCCATCACGCGATGAATTACAATGCCTCCTCTTGTTGATTTGGATAGGAAAACAGGAGTAGTGGCATCCGTTTCTTGACTTGCGCAGAAAGGTTTACTTGCTTTTAAAGTTCAATCGAGATTGTGAACCAAAATATTCAGAACTAATATCAAGTTGCCTGTATTTAGATAAATCTGGTGCATTTTCCCTTGTAACCTTTCCGCACAACTTCAATGATTTAAAATGTGAAACCATGCTTTCCTTTTCCTATTGGTCTACTAGCCTACTGTGTGAAAAATGTTAATCGGAGTACTTGGCTCTCGAATTAACCATTTAGTCCTGGCTTTGCAGACCAAGCCGAGCTTTCATCAATAACTTCTTGGACTTCCGATTAACGTCATACAACAGATAGGGGAATAATTGTTCTTCATTTCCTACTTTCTCGTAGGGTAAATGTTCGCTGCAGTAATACTGACCTCTATCTAGATTTTTGACAATAACTAAACTGACGCAATACTGCTTACTGCAAATATTAAGTAGGATTTTATTTTAATGAGTGTTGAAAGGAAATGCTGCCTTGCAAACATGTCTAATTATTTGAAGTTTTTCGTGTGAACTTTGGGATAAATATTATCACCTTATGTTACGTATTGATACTAAAAAAGCTTTGGAGCTTAAATTTGCCTGCATATATGCACGAATTCAAATAAATATAATGATGGTCCACAGGAATTTATTTTCGCAGCACACTTGACGAAAGAAACTTAGAATTCAAAAACCATAATTTAGATACCTCCTCAATAAGCGAACACCTTTTTCGCAAAGGAATGATATGTATGCTCTTTTGGATGTCATCGGAATCTATTCACTTTCTTTGTAAAATTTTCACTCGGTTGAAGTAAAATGAAGGGAATAGTTACGCCCTTCATGAAACTTGCACAATGCCTTTTTAGTAAGGGCTAAGATCCCTTGAGATACCGCAACCAATCCAAGCCCTCTCTAGGTATTTTCGACCAATCGCGTTACGCAGACATGGCTGGCACTTTCTAAGGTGCTGTCATGGCAACTGTGCGGCCCACCAACCAAAAATATGTGCCAGCTGGTAAAAGTAGGTCAAGGCAGTGTGTAAACTAAAGTCGATAAAAAATCTACAACCAAAACTTGATCTTAAAGTGTTGCCGATTTCACGGAAAAATAACACAAATTTGTAATGAATTCGGGAGGAGTTCGCTGTAGCAAATAATGTTTCGTAAAGTAACTGGAGCAGCAACCGTATGAAAGATCACAATCCTTGCAGTTTAAGAATTTATCCCATTTTGTTAATAGTTTACTCAAAATTACACGAAAAGTAAAAATTTATTTCAGTTTAATATCACAAACTAAACTTTGAGGCCTTGATAAGACCACCTGCTCATACCTAAATACGGCAATTATTTTATTAAAGTCGAAAAGGTAAAACTTTATGAAAACATCAAGAACTCTCTAAAGGTAGGTGAAATTTCGAGACCATTATGAATTTTTAAGGTCAAGTAACAACATTTGGGGCTCTCGGTGGGTCACCTAAGTAACGGAACTCTGGGATGAAGTCAGCCGCTGAATGATTTGAGCCGCTCACTCTCCCTTCCAATCTATGTCGATGATTAGTTGCATCACGACGCTAATTGGTTGAAATTTCTGGGACATGCACGCACGAGTGCGTACACAAAAGCTGGTGAGCCCAATATGTGGGACACACTGCACGGTCTTTCCCAATCGATCATAGGCGCGTGCGAATGAATGCGAGTGTGCGTTGTGGGTGCGTGCGTGCGTGCGTGAAGGTGAGCGTGCACGGGGGTGCTGTCAGCCCTGGGCCAGATCGCACCGGCAGCGGCACCACCATAACGGCACAAGCGTGAGGGCGCAGAGCCACTACTCCAAGCCGAGCCGCTACTATCAGTCCCGTGCAGAGCAGTTGTGCGAAGCAGCTGGATTTTTGTCGCGCTGCGCAGCTGCCCGCCGGCAACGATGCAACGGAATAATGGCCGTAAACGCGCTCTGCTGAGACCAAAATGGTTGGTACTCTTACTATCGTTGTTTCTACTCCCATTGGCCGTCGCCTCGAAGACATACTTCCTGGATTTACCAGAAGGTAGGTTCAATTCGGTCTCCTGTGAATCCATCCGCGCTTTCAATTTTGGTATAAAAGCCTCGATTTTTGCATTAACTTCCTGCAGATTTCCCAAACCGTTTGACTATTGTTTTCTACTTGTATGGGTGGATTTTCAAAGCCTGCTAGCCCTACACACTGCCTAAGGGAAAGCGTTCTCTTACAGACGGTTTAACCTCTTTGTTTTACAAAAACGTTCACGTTTTATTTCTGCTTTTACCGAGTAATATTGGGAAATATAGGATAGGATGATGCTTCTTACATTATGTATTGAGAAATTAGTCTTATATATACAACCATTACTTCTTAAAATTCATCAAAGTCCCTCGTTTCGCGATTTCCCTTCACAATCCAGCGATTAATACAATCGCTCCAGGCAACTAACCACGATGCAGTATCGGCAACGTTTCGCGGTTAAGGCCAGCAAACGAGTCAAAATCCCACCATTCAAAAGGATACCAGAAACAATGAATAGGAGATTTCGGTTCGACAACAGCGTTGTGGCGTTTTCTTTCCTTCAAATGTCTCAAACCTCTCGAATATATGGACAGCACAGTCGTTTTCTATGCTTAGACTGTGCTTAGAACCACCACTTAGTAATGATAGTATTCAAGCAATGCGTGCAAAAGTATTGGGTCGGTTCATTTTAATGCAAGATCTGACAAACCAGTATCTTTTGGATGTATTAGTTCAAAGAGCTCGCTTAATGGTCAGTGGAATGGGAAAAATGTCCTTAGAAGAGCTCTGATGAATCCAAAACGGGTGTTTTGTGGTAAATAAAACATTTATTTAAAATTATTAACAAGGTTAGAGATCAGCCAAAGTTACTGACCACTGAAAAGCTGTTGTGCCTCTGCAAAACCTTGGGGTTGAAAGTCTTTAGATAATGATTGTTGTTCTTACAATAAAATCTGGCATATACGGTTTCAGTGAGGCCACAAATCGGTCAGTGCAGAAGGCCATTTCGCAACGATGGGCCACTTTACGTAGCTTGCTTCCTTCTAGATGCCCTGTCGAAAGCAATAAACGAAGGTGGCGTATTATCGAATCAAAGTTTGAGTTTGCATGAAATTAGGATAAATTGGAACAACCCAGAAGTGAAATAACCTTGTGTAATGTCCTCAGATAAACCATAGGAATTTGAAAAGAGTGACTTAGTTATGATTCTTAGTGTGGCTGCAGGGAGAAAAACAGTCATATCCGATCATACCATCACAGTGGATGGTTTTCTGATCCTCAAAAAAGCCTCGAAGATTGGCTAATTGTGGTCGACTCCAGACTGCGGGTTCAGTTGTTGGCCGAGGCATTTCGATGGTAGCTCAAAGACTTCCAGCATGGCTGCTGCAGGAGGTCTTCCAGAGCCTTTTTACTGCAGTCCTCGGGGCAGTGCTGCACAATCAGTCGGTCCGACCGATGTTGGCAGTTACGAACTGGTCCAGGGCGAATCGGCCTGGCTACTAGAGGCTGCTAAGCCTAAAGGAGGTGCTTCAGGCCAAAAGGAAAGGGTTAGCTAAGCGATATGCGACTGATTGCTGTTAGCGGGTCTCCCAGTATGCAGTAACAGGTTTACATTCAGTGTCTTGCTAGGGTCATTGTATGTGCACCACCATCAAAGACTTCTAAGTTTGGTTACACGTTTGGCCCGAAAGAAGATTGAATTACGTTGATTATGAATTATATTTAATTAACAAATGTTTGGATCGATATTTTTAAACCACTCTGTTTAATTTCGGAAAGGCACGGTGGATTTGTTGGCGTCATTTAACATCGGTGACCAGGCCAACGTTCACGTCACTCCGGGCAAGTGTGGACAGCTTCCGCTAGACGACGAGGCCTCCAGGAAGCAGCCGATCCCGGACGAGCTCCGTCCCGGATACGTTGTTCCACGGGGCCTTGAGATGAAGAAGCTCCTCGCCGACCTCCTTCCAAATACCGGTAATCAGTGTTTATCATCCTAAAAAAAAACAACTAGTGAGCTCGACGATGCACTGGCGTGCTTAGCTTTGAGGCCAAACAAAGGTGTTCACTGTCTTGAAACCCTGTCTTTCAAAGTTTTGGTTCAGGTCTCTGTTAAAAAACGCAAAAACTGTTTTCTAGAAGGAGAAATAAGCAACGAGCACGCAACTAATGACTGATATCCCTCAGTATCTTAAAACTCGTTATGATTATGATGCATTAACCAGACTGTGGTTGTAAGCATAAAAGCATCGTGGATCAAGGCTCAATTGTTTTTTTACTGAGGGGATTGCGTGAAATGGTGTGTCTACATTTGAATTCATTCAGTAAGAAATTACTAATACGTGACCCCAGGTACCGTGGTGGTTCAGGCCTCGCATTAATCAGATCGTGATTGTTTACTTGAAACCGCCTAACGGGCAGCTATTGTGGGTCTTTTGGAATAACAATATTCCGCAGTCTGTAGAACACAGAAGAGGAAGGGAAATCGACACAGCGTTGTCCATTTGTTCTGTGAGTGCTGGAGGTAACAGTGACGACCAGTACTAGTCCCCAACAATTAGGATCTTAGAGAAAACACCTCCTCCACTGTCCTGAAGTAAAAATGGCACATAATTCAAGCTGTCCGAACTCCACGTCTCTGTCTTTTAAACTTGTAATTTAAATGTGAAATGATGGTTTAAAAGGTAGCTCGATAAGGTGTTTTTCGGTAGCGCAATTAACGGGTTACCATGGAAACAAAGAAACGAGCATCAAAAATTGAATTGCTTCAGCAATAGATGAATGACATTGTACACATACAGACACTGCTTTTTACTTGGTCTACGAAATTTCGATATCGTGACAAGCCCTTTTTCCAATCCAGATGCCTGGCGTTCAGAGATGTCAGTGTTCTTCACTACGAGAGTGAAGCCCGGCAATAAGGGCGAGCTGTTCACCATCTACAGCTCGCAGGGTCGCGTTCTCCTCTCCGTTGGCATCGACGGTCAGGTGGTTGTTTCTCACCAAGAGGCGGCCGCAGGCGTCCGGGCGGCCCGTGTTTCCGCAACTGGCAGTGCCATCAGCTCAGAGAAACTCGGACCCTCCCTCGACGACGGACTGTAAGCACTGCAAAAAACAACCGAATTTTTCTAGCTTGGCACTCCGCTGCTACAGTCCATTTGCGTGATTTATTGGTTAACTAGGCACCAGTCTTGGACAGAAGCGCTTTTCATTTCAAGTAGGAGTTCGTTTTATCATGTTAGATAAGAATTATTAAAATGGTTTGGAAGGTATCCATTCTGCCAATAAACAATCTAAGTAGTGATATCCGTGTAGAATAATCCTTAAGGTTCAGTTATTACATGTACTTTTGCCTATTTAAAAAAGCCAAAAGCGTTGCCTATGATATATTTGTAATTTTGATATTTATAGAGCAAATAGAAATTGGGTAGGTTTTTCATGCGTGGCTTGCTACAAAAGATTAGTTTTCGATAACCCCCAGTTCCATTACACTGGATAAATTTGCTTCAGCTACAGATTCGGATAAAAACTAAGTTGACGAAAATTACAAATATGGTAACAGTTTTTGAGAGTTGAGTGGTGCCACAAGTAAATATGGGAAAAATTGACCAATCCGAAACACGCTTTATCAGTTTGATTCGCCCTGTTTGTCGTACAGTTATGCATCGTTATTTATTCTCTTATTATGCCCTTTCAATTAAGATCTGTCACTAATCCAAAAAACGAATAATTCCGCAGTGGGAGCGACCATTATTTATTTTCGAAGGCTTCTTTGAACACTCGCAAAAGTTTTTAAATCAAAGGCGCGTGCTCTTTGAAAAACGGGAGACTTGTATTTTGTTAAGACAGCTTAAACGTGATAGGACCTCCTACTGCGTGAGGCGAATGCAATATTAAGGTAGTGAAGACAGTAATCCATTCTCAATATAGGAAGCTGTAATCAATGACAGCTCAAGAACTGTCATTTTCAGCCCTAACTGACTTGCTTGATCCACACAATCCGATTAGACATTTGACCTCCCCGTAGCACTCGCAATGTCAGTTGCTTAAAGTTGAAGTAATTAGTGTATGACCTGGAAATGAAACTTTGTGAATTCAGATGAAATCATGTATTTCAGTTGCAATAAATAAGTCTTAATCTGAAAATGCTCAATAAGTATTACCTTTTTATAGTCCAGACTAATCCTTACCCAGTTGTTTTACTTCCTGTAATACGAAATAGCTGCTGCAATTTGGGTGTGGAGGGCTCTGCAATTCCAAAGTGACAAGAAAGCGCAGTCTTTTCAAATGTGAATTTCCTCAAAGTGAATTATGTTAAGCAAATTCCACCTCATTTTCCAGTTATTATGCCTAGGAATTTTGTCCAAGGGAATACATCGTGATTGTGGAACACTATTAAATTTCGCAGTTTTGTAACATCAAAGGTCGCTCAAAAATGAGATAGTTGAAGTTGAGCCTGTATAACTAATTAACCATGTGTTTTTTTGTCTAGATGGCACCGTGTTGGACTAAATTTCAAGGATGGTCGTGTCCAACTTGCCGTTGACTGCAGAACGCCGGAATCGTTCAAACTTTCCCTCCCCGTTGCGTTCATCGACGAACGGAGCACGCTTAGCCTGCTCCCGAATGGCTTTGATGTGAGTTTCCGCTCTTTATAGCAATTATTGTATCTCTAGGTACCGCTCTTGTAAGCTTTGCGCATACCCAAGCATGTCCAAATATAGTGTAATGTCCTTAAGGCACAGTTTACCATGCCTTAATGTGAATGTTTCAGTAGAATGAGAGAAGTATCCAACCGTTTATACTTTTTTTACTACTCCCGTGATCATTAATTACAATAACAGAACTTAAGAAAGATCTTTTGCCACTGAACTGATGGCCTACACCACTTAGTAAAACATTGCATAAACAGAATCAACAAGAGTCTTTAAGGAGAAGTTACATGGCTTTACCAGGAATTAGATTTGATTCAATAAGGAAGTCTGTGTTTTTGCCTCCCTTCAGCTAATATCTTATTGTTTTTCCTCTCTACTACCTCCATCCCCGCTCATTTTTCAGGCCACCTACCTATACCAGCACGATAAGCAATCAGATTTTATTCGGTCTTTGTGTCTTATGAGGTGCTGCCGAGTTTTGTACCTATGCACAAACCCTTCATTTTCTACTCGCCAAGCACAAATTACCTAGAGTAATATTTTCAAATGGATTTTTCCTATTACGAAACACTACCTTTGTAAAAAAGTAGAATTAAATAACAGAACTTAATTATTCCTTTTTTAAGAGGTTAGTTTACAACCATTATACTCTACACTTTCTTATAGGGTGTCATCCAAGACCTGATGTTTGTCCAGGGCGATCGAAGCCTGGAACAGCAGTGCCTCATTTACACTCCCGACTGTCCCACGGATGGAGATGATGCCATGCAGAATGATGAGGTAATGATAGTTGTTGGCTCAGCTTTTGAACGCTTTAAAATCAGATAGTAAAGCGATTTGAATGCGAACGTAACCAGACCGAATTCCCATCAGCTTGGCTTGTGTTTTGTCGCTACAAAGAGGCCTCACAGCTTTTAAGTTCTAGGGCTTAATAAATGCTTTCAAAAAGTGAAAAAAAGTAAAGGCTTTGAGAATTTTACGGGTAAATATTGTGTATACCTTATTCTGAAAAATCCCTGACGAGGTATTAATTATAATTGGCTTTGGGTGCAGCTCTAAAGTCCTTAACTTTTAAACCCTTATCTAAAGCAATGCTGTTTAGTGGGACAAAAGTAAGGCAGTATTTCTACGGATACATTGGCTCAAGGCTTTAAAATTAAAACTGCTGCCAGCATAAGAACAGTTGTGTTGCTGTAAACTTGATCTCCATGAAAGTGTAAAAGGCCAAAACAGCGCGTTTTAATCGACACCATTAATTGTTCTGTCTTTAGAACATCAATTTAAGTACAAGTGATGCTTTACAACATTCTGTGGTATAAAATGTTTGGTTATTCACATCCAGTAGCATTTTATTTATTTTTTAGGAAACCTCTGAAGAGGCCCTTGGTCAGGTCAGTAAATGTAAAAACTTACTTATTTTGGAACTTGCCAAGATAGGCACAACGGTTTGAAAGGGTAATTGTCCATTACCGTTTTTATATTATGCTATTAAAATTCGTATGTGGTTCAGTTTATTTTACATCAAAGATTAACAGCACCAACATGAGCTTAACTTGAAATGGGATAAATTGGTATTTGCCTACTTTACCTTCGAAGATCTATTAACCTCGGTTTTTGAGGTTGTTTTACAGAACCAGTTTAGTAATAAGCCTTTTGGTCCATTCCAAAACGAATGTGCTGATTTGGTGGTCAGGAGACAGGAGAGATTGTCATCAGAACAACAGCCTTTCTTGATGAGCCTCCCGCAGTCATTGTGAACGTCGTCTCAACTCCATTGAACCTCAAAACAGACTGCTGTTCCATTTTTCGTTTTGTTAATTTACCAACTCTTTCAGGGCGAGCGAGGAGAACAAGGTGACCCTGGCGAACCAGGCGAAAAGGGTGAACCCGTAAGTTAGATTCTTCCATCTAAGTTGGTGCTTCTTAGTCTAAATATGAGTGTAGATTACGGTCAGAATTATGTCAAAGCAAATTAAACCAGGTATTCTGGGACACATTTAGCATCACCTTACTTGACAGCGGCACTAACAAAGACCGCGTGCGCGTGAATGACTGTGCCGGGTTTTGTCCAAAATAGCACCAGGAGGATTGGACTAATTGACACAGCTGTTTCATGTCTCTAATTTTCGATGAGTAAATTTCTTGACGGATTGTGCACGTGCTTTATCCGTCTGGCCACGCGGCAGCTACTAGCCAGGCTACCAATAGAAAGGTTTATGCCGCTTAAGGAAGAATGTTGTTCAACGGCAAAATCTAGCACAAAAATTTGCAAGGCTATTCAGTCAACTAACGATCTCTCTCAGAGTCACTAAGTTCATAAGTATTTTTGCATGTTGGTTTGCGTGTGCCACTCACTCAGAATACCATGAATCACTTTTGACCCGTGCAAACTCATAACGCTACTGGTGTTGCTCGGAACATGAATACAGTATGACGTTGGAGTCTTAAAACGTAAAAAAACAGAGCTATGGTTTTAACCAACCCGTACAGTAGCTTCATAGCAAGACTTTATCAAAAGGTGCTTGTTAAAGCATCAAAGTGGCAAAATTTAGAGCAGCCTTCCCAGTTTAATCGCGCTGAAGTACCTGCAGACATAGAAAAAGACTTGTCGCATTTACGAGGCGTCTATGTTCTTCTACAGGGCAAGCCAGGTCCACGCGGACCCGACGGAGAACCGGGTCCCGCCGGCCCGACCGGCTCCTTGTTTGTCGTTCCTCTGAACTTGGGTGTTGGCGGCGGCTCCCAGGCGCGTGCTGGCCACTTCCGGCAGATACTTCAACAGCATCTTGTAAGTCTGCATAGGCACGCATTCGTCATGGACACAAATTTGCCTGGCGAGCAGCAACTGAAATATTCATGCGAAAGAGATGTCATGTATAAGAAAAGTTCAGATTTGTTTCCACAAAGGCAAAATGACACTCCAGAAATAGGGTAATTTGGCTTTACTTACGTTCGGCCCTGGGTCAGGAATGTTAATATAATTGAAAGGTAACTGGTGAGGAGAAATAAGCGCATGTAAGTGGCTTACTTTAATTCGTGTACGAACATTTTGAGTAATTTAAAGTTGTAGAATTATTCAATTTGTTGAGAAGGCCAGTGCCAGCTCCTATAAGCTAGATTCAAAATAGCTGGGTGGTGTTACAAAAAGAAGATAGGGTCAGAAAGGTTTCAAGAGACTCAATAAATTTATTTCATAGGCCATCTTCTTCTATCACTACCAAAATGAGGAAATCGAGTGAGCATCAGAGACAAATGGTGTACTCTAAGATAATATCTTAGAAATATCTGTGAACCATTTGGGACTAATAGTTAATCAGAAGGCCAACCTAGAGCAGAAGTTTCGTTTGGAAGACGTGGATAATGTTGTGTACAAGTGGTGTTGAAACTCCAGTTAAATTATTTTGGCCGTGAGTACTTCATTTGATATCTTGATTACACTTAGCATGCGACTCTTAAGCTGCGTGCGATGGCTTCCTGATTAGTTTTTACTGCTTGTAGGAATCGCTAAGGGGTCCGCGCGGCCCCCGTGGTCTCACGGGTCCCACAGGTCCGGATGGTCCCATGGGTCCCCCAGGTCCTAAGGGCGAAACCGGTCCTCAGGGCGACACCGGCTTCCAGGGTCGGCGAGGTCCGATGGGACCTGCTGGTCTCCCTGGACCAAGGGTGAGTAACTGGAATTGAAGACTTTCACCACTAGACACAAGGAACACTTTTAGTTTTCGGTTTTTGGTGGAATCAATTGCAATCGTACCTCTATTGCATATTGTCGTTCATATCTTGCGAATTTGTTGTAACGTGTTATAGTGATATCTTCTACTACTGATTTGTATGTTTTTACAATAAGTGAGCTTCGTTCACATCAAGGCCACCCTGTACATACTTTTACTGCATTAGATCTGTCTTCTCTGCTTTCGATGCAGATTGAAGTCCAGATAACTGGCCATTATTACTGTTAACGAAGGGCTTTGCTAACAACTCAGACGAGGTAGCACTAGCAAGCTATTTGGCACTTTATCAAGAATATTGAATTTTTGGGAAATGTATATATCCTTATAGAAAAATTTAAAGGTCATAATTTTTATTCTTTAATATGCCGATGAATAATACCTGGTAAAAGTAATTGAGACGATTAGAAGAGTGGGGTCTACACGTCACTAGACAAAATGAATGATTGTTATCGAAACTCGAATAGCGTCGTTAAAGGATAATGATGATTGCATATTTTTTAGGGTAAAACTGGTCGTGATGGAGATCGTGGTGATCCAGGTCCTGCCGGTCCAAAGGTTGGTATAATTTTTTAACAATTTTGCATGTTGAACTTTGCCTTGGTGAGTTACAGTTCTTCCTCCTACTTGATTCCGTTCCTAGGGCCCAGACGGTCTCCCTGGAGACTCCGGGTTGATGGGTCCCAAGGGCCCAAAGGGACCGCGCGGACCCGCGGGCCCCGTCGGCGAGACTGGGTCTCCAGGTGAAGAGGGTCCCCGTGGTCCTACTGGCGACGCCGGCGACCAGGGCGACATGGGCCCCTACGGTCCTCGCGGTCCCCCCGGCATGCAGGGTCCGCATGGTCCCCGCGGCAAGACAGGAAGTCGTGGTCCCGTGGGCCTGCAAGGGGAGACTGGCGAACCCGGTCCAACTGGACTGCCCGGTCCCATGGGACCACAAGGCCCAGCTGGGCCTGAGGGCCCTGCCGGTCCTAGAGGTGCCGTCGGCGCTCCCGGCCCCAACGGGAAGCAGGGACCCCCTGGAGCCACCGGACCCGAAGGTCGACCAGGTTATCCGGGTGAGTAGTATGAAGGGAAATCAAATTTAGTGAAGCAAGACCTGGGCATGTGAGGGGGGCCTAAACTAAAAATACGACTGAACGTTTCTGAATTCGCGCGAGTGGTCCTTTTTGTCCAATAGCGCGTCAATTTAAAAAAGAAACACGCCAAAGCCAGGTGATTGTGTAGCAACACGCTTAACTTTAAGCTCCATCCCACACGTTTAGCTCAAGTCTCAATGATCCCGTTTGAGAGGGGTGAACGCACTTTTTAAACGAATGGAGTAGGTCTTATGCACGAAATAACTACGTTTTTCTTGGAAATGTAAAAGCACTATGTAATATATAATGAAGTTTAACGTAGAATAATAATGCTCACTCTCTTTGTACCTTTCCGATAAAATCAGTCTTAACTAACTTATATTTTTTTATCTGTTAGGCCATTTAAACGGGTCATATCAAAAATAAATTAGGATTCAAGCCTATAGCACCATCCTCGAGGCTTTGCTTTGGCAATTGAAACCGAGGATTAATTTGTGGCATCGTTCACGTGGTCTGTGGCTTACAATCCTTGGGAAGAGTGCCGTTTTAATTATTTTATTAAACTACTAGAATATTTAGGTTAAATAGCTTGGTTAAGTTCATGGTAGAACGATTAGTTTTAAAAGCCACATTTTTCAATCAAATTGATTTGGGATAATATTGAAACTGTCTAAAATCGCCATGTGAAATATGGTAATATTTTGTTTAAATAATCATAACTTCACATTTAGTTTAACAATATTTGTGAACCTCCAATAAAAACCATGTAATTAATCGTTAACTGATGACCATATCTTTCGTTACTACCCTCCCACAACTTCCAGAACTGATGCCTTGTCTGGGTTCTGGTTTTCTTTGCTGCAAAGCATCTCTTTAGTCACCACACGTCCTTACTCAATTTTAAATCTTACTGCTCCTATAGCGAAGATTAAATTGGTATATAAATATTAAGATTCGTGCCGGATACTACACAACAAATAAACCCATACAATTTTCAAATATGATGCAAAGAAAAAGTCTGCCGTCTGATTGGTCCTATCGCTGTTTTTTTTCAAAGGTCCGAAAGGTGAGGTCGGTTTGAAGGGAGACACTGGCCCGGAAGGCCAAAAGGGTGACCCCGGCCTTCCTGGTCCTCGGGGAGTCAAAGGCACTCGTGGTATGGCTGGAGCGGTCGGCCCCAAGGGAGATGCTGGCAAGCCTGGAGCTATGGGTGTTCCAGGTGACCCCGGTCCGAAAGGTCTTAAGGGGAGCCGAGGTGTTCCAGGCACAATGGGCCTTATGGGACCACAGGGAGAAAAAGGTGAACCTGGTAAGCCCGGAGACCCAGGCCCTAGGGGAGACCGTGGTGTCCAGGGTCCATCTGGTCTCATGGGACCAGCAGGTCCCCAGGGCCTCCACGGAGACCCTGGTCCGGCTGGCCCACCAGGACCTCAAGGTCGTGAAGGTGATAAGGGTGAAACAGGACCAATTGGTCCTGCTGGAGCAGATGGTGAACAAGGCCAACATGGAGCACCAGGTCCTCGCGGTCTTCAAGGAAAGACTGGTCCGGCCGGTGAAAAGGGTGACCTTGGGGCCACTGGTCCTGCCGGTCCCCCTGGTCCCATTGGAGAAATGGGCTTCCAAGGTCAATCAGGTCCTAGTGGCCTTCCTGGCCCGGCTGTAAGCTACAATTCTTCCTTCTCGAAAATGGAGATATTTAAATTACTACGTAAAATCCTTATTTTCCTTCCATAGGGTCCGATTGGTCGACAAGGCCCCCAGGGTTTTCCCGGGCCACGAGGTGAGCCCGGTGAAATCGGTCCCCCAGGTCCACGTGGACCGATCGGAATGACAGGTCCAGTTGGTCCAGCAGGTGATACTGGTCCTGAAGGAGTTCCTGGCCCAGTTGGTCCTCGTGTACGTTTTTTTATTTCTCTTCTATCTGCTATTTCTAGACTCTAATTTTCTGTCATCATAAATACCAACGTTTCGAATATGGCAAGTAAGGTTGCCTTAGTGACTGAAAAATCAAATTACACAATGGGTTTTTCTTTTTCACTTAACGCCTCAATATTCAAATAAATATGCCAATTTTTTTAAAAATAACGGTTGGTTTTTCTGCTAATATGAAATAATGCGGCAACCATGATCCACGTTTAGGTATTTGGGAACAGGACGTAAACGCGTCGGATTTAGGAAAGCGATTGCTGGAAGTCTTTAAGTCCGTCACTATTGAAATTTAAAAACACACACTTCAATTCTTACACAGTTTGCTTTTCAGAAAGTGTTCACTAACACGCACGTCTACTTTAATTTTTCCAAAGACCATAAATTTCGGATGTCGCATCTCTTGAATGCAAAGCTGATTTGGAATAAACCTGCCGATATCCACATAAATGTATGTATACACTTGGCTAGTCGTGATGAGTTGTTATGTTCTGCTAAAAGGGTTCAGCTGGAGATCCCGGCAAGGACGGCAAGGACGGCGCAAGGGGTGACAAAGGCCCAAAGGGCGAACGCGGCAACCGAGGCCCCGCCGGCCCGCGGGGTCCCCGTGGCTACACCGGACTCGACGGTCTGCCCGGCCCCGCCGGTCCAGAGGGCTTCAAGGGCGAGACCGGTCCTGACGGCGAGGTCGGACCGGCCGGTGCCAAAGGGTACCGTGGAGACTCCGGACCTATTGGACAAGTCGGACCTCCTGGTGAGTGGTTTAACAGCGACGTCAAAGGTGGATTTTAGCTCAAAGGTACTGTCGACCTTTTGGGCGGTGGGCGGTGATGTTCAATGCGTTCGTGCGAAATACTCTGGCTGTCAGGGTATATTACTCTAATGGTTTCATAGGCCCTGTTCTAATGCCCAACTTTACTTGGAGCTTGACTTTTCACTAATAAAATCTTTTTTTGGCAAGAACTAACAAGTAAAGACAGTTTCAATGAATGACTATCCTTGATAACAATCGCAATTCCTGACATTCTCAAAAATTCAAACTGTTAATAATTACAAGCACATCATTTGTTCAGACATCATAATAAATGCCAGAATTTAGCTTTGAACACATAAAATGTGAGCACTCGGAATGTGGTTAGATAGTTTTATACCTAATCCTTTTTTAACTTAGAGGTAAGAGCTATATCGAACATTTTAAAATTTGTACTGGGTGTCGGTTATGTTGGATTTTGGGTCATGACTAGTTAGGTTAGGCAGTGCGTACGTCATGACTCATTATGGTCATTTGAATTATCTGTTTACTAATTACGACTTAAATCACTACCTGATTTTTAATTAACTTGGTCAGAAACACGAAAGCATCAATTTGATGCCAGTATTCTAACACTTGCTGACTTGGTTTGTTGCGTTGGGTTAGGTCCGGCTGGGCCAAGAGGCGCTCCCGGCAGTCAAGGCGAAAAAGGCCCGAAAGGACCGGACGGCGTGATGGGTCCAGTCGGTCCCCCCGGACTGCGGGGCTCTCGTGGCCGTTCAGGTCCCACTGGACCGATCGGAGCGCCTGGATTCGATGGCGAAAAGGGCGAACGGGGATCTCCGGGCCCACGGGGCAAGAAGGGCCCCGTTGGTGCGCAGGTAAGGTGATTCGCCATCAAGCTGGATGGGTAGGTTCCCGAACAGCCTACTGTCATTTTTTTCATTTTTCAGGGAGTCCGAGGGATTGCCGGACCCATTGGAAGCACTGGAATGCCGGGTATTCAGGTAACAAAATTTTAGTCAATAAATTACTTTATCACTAAACCACTAGCTCAACATGCTCCACATAACATTGAACATATTTTAGAATTGCATTTTATTCAAGTTTATGTCAAATTAACTTAAATTTGGAATAGTGGAATTTCGATCAGTGGTCTAATGATTTTGTGACTTTGAAGTCTTTTATATTTGGTTCTGAGGTGAGATGAGTAATGCTCCCTCCTAGTTATCAAAACATATTTGAAATTTTGAGTGACATATCGCAAAGCTGATCAGAGATCTTATTAGGTACACCAAAATTTGGACAATTCATAATCACAGGAAACAATGTATTTGGTGCAATCCTGCATGATCTAGTTAATAGAAACCAGAAGTTGTTGGTCGTGCAAGTTAGACTGCCTGTGTCCGTGATTTTAGGGACCCCCGGGAGCCCCTGGTCAGCCCGGAGAACAGGGACCCATGGGCTTGATAGGCCCTGAAGGCCTCACAGGTCCAGCTGGTCTAGCCGGTCCCATGGGCATGGAAGGCGTCCCGGGTCCTATCGGGAAACGTGGACCAAAAGGCGACCGTGGACGTGATGGCCCTCAAGGCAGCCCGGGATCTCCAGGCCCCATGGGAACCATGGGTCTGACGGGACCTCCCGGCAACCCCGGGCCAGCTGGACCGGCAGGACCGGTCGGCGATCCTGGGGAAAAGGGAGAACAGGGCCCACAGGGAACGCCCGGCTATGATGGACCTCCAGGGAATCAGGGCCCACAGGGCAAGAAGGGACCTGACGGTCCACCTGGTCTTGTCGGACCACCTGGTGACCCAGGTATGGAGGGTCCGATGGGACCACAAGGTGCTATGGTAAGTTCCTGCCAAAATTTTTCGAAAATATTTCACTTAAACTAACCAAGTAACATGATCATAATAAATTCCTCCAAAAACATAACAAGATTTCTTTTAGTTGCAATCCACCGCAGAGATTTACTCCTTCTAGATAAAGCTGAATATCATTAAAAAAGAAACAAAATCCTTGTAGATTAACTATCTTCTTGTATGGGTTACTAATTGTCCTAGATTTTAGATGCAGTATGCCAATTAAAGGACTAAGAAAGTCCAGCGAAATTAGTGTTGCTCAATTGAACCTCTGAAACTAGTAAATAGTAGGGATTTCTGCTGCCAACTGTAGTCCGACACTCAGCTCACAAACACTAGTAAACATTTTGGAAGTGGAAGTAAATTTAACACCTCGATTTTACAAAGCATTTTAATTTATAATAGAACTGGAAAATTAACTGGATCCGGAATGAATGGCTTTAAACAACTGACATCGGCATTATTAGGCCGTAGTGAATCTTGTCTGTATCTGCCTCTTTGAATAAAGGTTTTGTTCTTCTAAACAATTTATAGAGCTGAAGTTTTCCCACACAGCTAAATGCCAATACAAATATCAGATTGTGGTTTTTTTTAATGGGCAAAGTAACATCATGATATCTTCGACAAATTTAACTTACTTTGTTTCACTATTGCACTAAAACAAGTCTTCTGATACGTGTAGCATTTGTGTATTTTTCACTTTCTCTTCCACTTTTAGGGACCAATGGGACCGCCAGGTCCCCAGGGCACCCGTGGTATTCCGGGTGTAAGAGGCACTCCCGGACCAGTCGGCGAAGATGGCGCTCCTGGCAACAACGGTCCCCAAGGCAAGGCCGGCTCCCGTGGTCCGCCTGGTCCACAGGGCCCCCAGGGACCCTCTGGACAAACCGGACCCCAAGGTTTACCGGGTGTTCGTGGCAGCAAGGGACCCAAAGGCGAGCCCGGACCGCAAGGACCACCTGGCGAGCCCGGAATCAGGGGACCTGCCGGCATAAATGGACCACCAGGCCTCCGAGGACCGCCTGGGCCTCCTGGACCACAGGTGCAGAATGCTTCTTCAAATTTGTTCAGTTTATTCTGAGTGTTTGGTACAGCCCAATTTTTTGTCACAAGTTAAAATTGCGCAAACTGCAGAATTTCGAGTTTCCGGTGTTTGCAACATGTTCGCAAGATCGTCGGCAGTCACGGAGCTGATGAGTAAATGCCATGTCTTTCCCTCGATTTTATCAGGATTAAATTTTTACTCATTGTATTATGAAGCATGATTTAAAGTAAAACTTTTAGTTTGGGTGCTGCGCTTGGAAAATCAATTTTCTGAAGGTGGCATAAGGGCAGTGCTAGGTGTGTAATATTTCGTGGTGTGATACATGTCTGCAGTTAATAATAAATCAAATTTTACGTGGTTTAATAGCACTTCTTGCCTCAATTGAGTTTGTTGAGAAGGGAATGTATATCTTCATGTTTGGATCGATTTTTAATGCCTGATTCATCCCCACCCCTGCCTGCATTTGTGATGATTTTATCAAAAGAGCCAAGACGAAGGATCTATAAAGTATTTTATTATAACAGTGTAAAAAGTCCCAGAATTTCTTTATAATGCTTCTGTTTTGTATTAGTAAAGTAAAAAAAAGTGCGGAGGAAAAATTTAAACCACACATATAGATTACCCTCAGACTTTATCCGCGTAATATGGTACTTCTCATCACACAGATTTACCTTTAATTCATGTTTGACTTTCAGGGTCCAATGGGCGTCAAGGGACCCGATGGTGAGGAAGGTCCTGAAGGCAATGCTGTAAGTTGTTTTATTTGTCTATTCAATGCCCACATTTAAACATGGTTTATCACAAATGATGTCGTGGCCACGTACTTATCATCAGCAATAATGATAAATTAGGGTCTGAATTAAGTGTGCGATTTTACATGATTTGCCAGCTCGCTAGTTGGATATTAACAAAACTTCATTTAGTGGAATCCATCCCCACAATTTTGTATTGAACCCCCATTTGCACAAAATGAAAGGCGTAGAGTTTGGACATTTGGTATATCTATCTGGGCATTATTTCGCGATAAGATTGCTTCTAAGCCCACCAAATTCAAACTAATTTGATTTTGATGTTAAGTTGTAAAAAATGTGATGTAACTTCCCATGGATGATTTGACTTTGCTACCAAATCTTTTGTTGGTTTTAATGGAGAAAATGAGCATTCCTCAGTAGTCTTTTTTGAAATTAATTTTGGTTGTGCCACAAGATCAGAGCTGGAGCTCCGGTATAATTTAAAGCTTAAAAATGGTGAGTGCACGTCCACATATTCACTCGCAAGAAGACACTGTGAAGTCGTGCTTTGTAGAAAAGTTTATGGAATGATGACGCATGAATAAAAGGCGATAATTGGAAAACAGCAAATAAATTTGTAGCCATGCTGGGCTAAAGCATGCAACTCTGTTATTCGTGGACATCCAGCAAATTCTAGAGCGGCAAAGGTGGTAACAAGGCGATACGACGATGAGGACCCAACTGTTTATTTATCCACTAGGCTGAGTATGCGAGTAGTGAGCGTGCATCATCGTGTTTGTAGAGCTTTTGTGGACAGAGGCCAGCCAAAGATCGGAGTGGGTCACGAATATCAATTATCTTGCGGGGAAACAGTTTGGATTAACTTCCGCTTATGCGTGCAGCTGGGGGTTCACTTCAAGCGTCAACTCTTCAGACAGAGAAAAGAAAGCAAAAGTTTGCACGCTTGTAAACTGTTTATAATGTTGGCTGAACTGCTATAACTTATGACTACTTTTAGACGGTAATTAAAATCGATTCCATGGTAAGGTGCTTCGGAGTTTAAATCATCAGTCAAAGCCATGTCATCCAAAACCGTGTGGTTCTCCAAACCTATCAGTCACCTCGAAGCGACCATGAAGTGTGTAAGTTGTGTGCTTTAGGGAACGACCGGCCCGGACGGGGAGAAGGGAGACCCCGGCCCCAAGGGCCCCAAGGGAATGCACGGCCCGATCGGACCCATCGGACCTCCTGGACAAAGGGGAGAGCGTGGTCCGACTGGCGTGGAAGGCGAACGTGGACGCACCGGTCCCAAAGGAGCTCAAGGTCCTCCTGGACCTACGGGTAATCCTGGTCCCCCTGGAGACCCCGGCATGACAGGACCAGAGGGACCAATGGGCGTTAGTGGACCTACTGGTATGATCTTTTTCCATTCAGATAGGTAATATTGGTAAACGATCGTAGCAACGCGAAGTTGCTGTTACAGATATTTGTTCACTCAACATTGCCTTGTTTGACAAATAGATTCAAAGGGAAAAATCCTCGAAATTAATCGGTGAATTTGTTCGGCCACTATCAGTAGCTAACTTGAATACGATAAATAGCAAAATGGGTTAGAAATACTGATAAAACATTGTACTTAGGTAACAAATTTAATGAATTGATGTCCCAGAAGCTCTGTATGCTTCAAAGGTCTAGGTATATCGCTTGATGAGATGTCACGATTGGTTTAAATATCGCGTTGTAAGTTTAAAAAAAACCAGAATTCATGTAAAGATTTCGTCTGTAGGTCCAAGCGGTCCACGCGGTCCGAAGGGGAAAGTGGGGCCACCAGGTCCACCCGGACCCCCCGGTCCCGTAAAAATTCTCGACCTCAACGCTGGCTACTTCAAGTTCGAACCCGCACGTACCAAGCGCAGCATTGATGACGATGATCTTTCCGACTTTAAGGACCCTGGTGAGTTACGACATTATAGACAACACGAAAGTATTCAATTTTGTTTCCAAACCAAAAAGGCACTCTAAGTTTGTGTGTCTTCTTGTTGATGGTAATAGTGCGTTCGTACATTTCATTTGTATTAATAATTAGGCTTTGTGAAGTCGGCATTACATTTCTTTTTCCGCTTAATGTTTTGGAAATCAAGGCAATCCATGTTAGGTGGGATTTTTTGAATTTAATACGATATATGGGAGATGTATAGTGTGGCCATTCAATTGTTTGTCCCAAGCGCAACGTATAAGTCATTGTGTATACAAACCTATTAACCTAAACAGAAATTGTGTCTTTAACGCTTAGTGTATGGTTGATGCTTTTGAAAAGAGCTAGATTAAATACAGCGGTATGCCTATGAATGACTTCTGTCAATATTTTGGTTGTAGTTTTGAAATTTGATGTGCTGCACTTATAACTTACCTTAAAAGCAAGCCGAATTTAATTTTGTCCACAATGTAGGCTGGATTCCAAAGTCCACAAAAGTAAGAAAGCCACAAGGACTCACTAAGTGATGCGAGACGTGTGTAGCGCTGACTGAACAGAAAGTGCCTGTCGAAATTAGTTGAAAAGTCATATTCAAGTCAAGATTCGGTCGCCAAATACGTCATGTATCTTACGCAAGCAATCGGTGAAAGGTTAAAAATTCACTTACGATGTTCTGGACTGATTGAAATGTTAAATATTTGTGTTTCACATGAAAAGAAGCAAATTTGCTCCAGGCAATCTGAAAATGTTTGCAATGCTCTTTTGAAGCGAAATAAAATCGTGCCATTTATTCACTAATTTATCACAGCTCGTTAAAATAAATTGTCAAAAATGACGCGGATCGAATTCGATCCAATCGTGATTAATTTTCACAATCTCCTCGATTACTGAAGTGATTATATAGCGATCGTTAACCTGTTGGGCGTTGTGTATTTTAAGCTGCTTTTAGTAAACTAAGTAGTTTATCCAACTGCATGCCGTTGCAGATGAACAAGACACAAATAGGAGGTGATCAAACAAAAACGATGCGGATTGGTAAACCGCAAAGCACTCGTATTCCATAAAGTGAATGCGAGATTTAGCCCATGTTTGGTAACTCCTGGATTGGAATAGGAGCTTGGCTAAGAAGTGGTGTGGTAAACTCCTCCATCAGGTCTCACCTCACTTTCTGAAACGACAAAACTCGTTGGTGATTACTAGAAATCGCACTTGCTTCAGCTTTCTGCTGCTTAGGCCTTCGAGTATTAATCGTGGAAGCCCGCATTTGTTAGAAAGTCGTCAAGCGATTCCTTTTTTTACAAAAGTGTTCAAAGTTCACGCTTTCAAACCGAAGTTACGTTCCCACCAACTTAAGATTTTCCCCAGAAGCGCTAACCAATCTGTGTCTACTTCATGTCGCGTATCTGAATATTTGCACCCTTCAGTAAAGTTACAAGTTTAAGGTTAGTTGTCATCTCTTAAAGCCGTCAACAGTCTCCCTCAATCATGTAGAATAATTTGGTTTGATAGCCAGTTCATCAAGTTTACAGAAGCCATGACGACTGTGGAATACAATTAACTGCGACCGACCTATTTGTATGGTAATTTTTAGGGTCTCAGTTGTTACATTATCTGACCACATTTCTGCGGACATTACTGGTTCTCAAATGGTTTGAGTGACGTCAAACACACAAACACCTCTGAGTAGAGAATTAGACTTACGCTTACAATTCATCACGGCTTTACCACTTTTAGACGCTAATTTATTCCCGAACAATGTGCCTGCCATCGGTGCCGTTCTCCGACGGCTGTACGCTCGCATTGAAAACCTCGAATCTGCGGTGAAGTACTACAGGAAACCTGTGGGCACCCGTTCATATCCTGCTCGCCACTGTCGCGAGATCATGGAAGCCACCGACTCCCCGCACGGAGCAGTTTCAGGTGAATATTGGATCGACCCCAACCTCGGCTCCAGCAAGGATGCCTTCCTGGTGGAGTGCAGATTTTCTGGCAATGTTGCTAAGACTTGTGTACACGCAACTGCTGAGTCCAAGGCGGTACGTCTACTTTAAATTCACTCGGATGCCTCTTTGTTAGATGCATGTTGCGCGGATCTCATGGCTGCTTAAATTGCCACTATACCTTTGGTCGTCGAAGTGTAAAATGTAGGAAGACTGACGTCGCTTACTGTCTGTCCAAGGAATCGTTGCAGATTATCGTGGTATTCTTGAACTCGGTTTAACAGTGAAAAGCGATTCCTCAGATGTGTGGTGTAGAATGAATTAGTTAAGGCTACCAATAGATCAGTCCCATGTCAAGCACAAACACCCTATAAGGATTTAGACACAAAAAAAATTCAGAGCGTGAGAGACACGTTTTTGGTAATTTTAAAAGACTTGTCTCTTGCCAAACACCGACTCACTTTACAATATTCTTTACTCAACAGCTCCGTTTAACCTCTCTGAAAAAGAGCAGTGGTGAAAGCAGCTGGTGGTTGTCGAAGCTTCTAGAAGAACAAGGCAACAGAACGCAGAAAGTATGTTTCGTTTTCTAAAAAAATTTGGCAATTCCAATTGCAACATAAATGTGAAGGAATAAGTGAGATTTACTACAAAATTTTAATCAATAATTGCAATTTGAGGTGAGAAATTTAGATTTGCACAATCGGTCAAATACAACAGAATGTAAGAAAAATTTCACGTTTTTTTCCAATTTTTTGTTTTTTTATGCATAATTTCTATAATGACATTTAAACGTTCTCATCATCCAGTTCCCTTAATAGCCGCTACGGACGCGGTGTAAAATTGTTTTCTAAGCTTGTGTTTGAGGCACCTTGATCAGGGTAGTGTTTTATCGATTAAAAAAACGCAGGTTATTTCACAGTCGACTTGGTCCTGCACTTTAAACACATTCAAGTGTTTGATCTTCCTGTCCAGTTGTTCTACGCTCCGCGCAACCAGTTGAACTTCCTACAACTGCTTCACCACAAGGCTGAACAGTCCATCACGGCACTCTGCCGCGGCTCGGTTGTCTACTATGATAATAAGAACAAAAATTACAATTCTGCCGCCAATATGCTACTCTTCAATGGCAAAGTGATCGACACACACCTCGATCGTCGCGTCCGCGGCGAAGGTGGTTCTGTTCAGCTTGAGGTTAATGTCAAGGACGATTGTATGGTAAGTACATTTTGGCGTGCATTATCAGACATTTCAGGGACTGCTAAGTGTCGTAAACTCCCGAAATCAAAATGAGCGTAGTGTTGTATCGCCTTAAATTGTGGCAGCTTTAGCATCTTCAGTTATGTGCTTCGTTTTTGGAAAAACAGCACTTAAATTATATCAAACCCCGTATCACAACACCAATACACTATCACTAATGCACGTGAGCTGGCTCATCCGAGTTACACTTGTCAGCTTAAATTTTATTAAAATCGGTCATAAAATGCCTCTCATGGAATCAGCTGGATAAAAACTAGACTGATTATGGGGATTGTATGAACGTACTAATGATTATGGGGATTGTAAGAACGTCATACTGGCTGTTAACGATGCTTATTTAGAACAAAAGCGACCTTTGGTTAAACGCACCCATAGACGCAATAAACAATGCCCAGAGGGTTAGTTGGTATCCTTTTAGCTATGCTTAATAGATTTTCCCCTAACTTCATCAGAGTTGAAACATTCTAGTGAAATATTAAACAAATCGACGTTATATTGGAACAAATAAAACGCAGAACTATAGCGTCCACTAGCATAAGATGTTTTTTGACCACGATAGAAATATCATTTTGGTTGGACGTCGTCCCACCGGTTTGTTGGAAATTGTACTAGACAAAGTCAAACCAGGTTCACTATTTTGTCTTGAACCACATTAATTTCATTGTCATAATCTAAGTAAGTGAAATCATTGAACTTCGCCACATACTAGTGAAATGCACTGAAGAGACAGCACATTGAGGTGGACGGAAATATTAATGGTTCAGGACTACCTTGTCAACTTGCACCTGCTTGCGAGTGCATGGATTGATTACTTATGTAAATAAAAAAGGTCACTTGGGATCAAAGGGATGTACCAACAGTTGAGCAGTTAGTAAGGACTCAATAAATGCTTGTTAAATTAGCTCGGTTGAAAGAAATGTTTCGTCGGCAAAGGTTACTGTAGACGGACATGTTTGAAAGTGTTTCACATATCTGATCTCTTTTTCACTCTCGTCCGTTTGTTATTGCACCTGACCCTTATTGAATTTGATCGCTCTTGTACAAGCATGCGACTTATATGTGGTTGAGACCTGACAGGTTTTTCAGCGCGTTCAACTTAGTGAATGGTGATTTTTTCTCGTGACCAATTAACCCCTTTGTTTACTCCAGGACCGTCCTCTTGCGGGATCCACAGCCAGCTTTGACCTCGTAGCCAAGAATCCCGAACTCCTACCCATATTGGATTTGAAGATGTTCGACTTTGGGGAGGAAAACCAACAACTTGGCTACTACCTCAACGAGGTGTGCTTCTCGTAGTCTTGCTTATAGAACAATTTAATGTTCCCTACGCCACATATTTAAGAAGTAAATGCGCAACTTCTTTTTGCGTCAAAAGTGCAACCAACTACTCCCCTATGTACACCAGAATCCATGAACACACCTTCTCTCCACGCTTTTCCTACACTTTGTGATACTGTGTGCTTAAAAATTTCACAGTCCTGTGTTATACTGTCAAATTATCATGTACAGCCCAGTGCATGCAGGTGGACAAAAGAGCAGGCTTTTGGTCTCCCATTATACCTAAACGATCTAGTGCTGTTGTCGGAGGTTTTGGCTAGTAAAGCTGCATATGACATTTTCTCGCCTTTTTACGTAACATAAATTACCTCTAAACTAACTGTTGATAAATTGGCACAATGCCATTTCAGCAGGATTTGACCTCATCATTGTACGTTGGGTAAAAGTAGCTCACGAAAAGCATACGCCGTTCCAATGAGTGTCCTTACAACTATCAGTTGCGCTTGATTCATATGCAGAATGATAAGTCCTCTCACTTTTTAGGAATGTACTTGATCTTAAATATTCAAAAATCGGACATCTGCCACTTTTTGGGGATTCGCCTGGTATCTTGTACGAAGGTTGGTTGCTCTTACTGAAATGATCCAGGCAAAGCTGAACCTGCATGACGTTAGCAATATATAACAGCAACTAGTGGTTCCGACATCTCATACATGAGATGTCGTTGCAGTAAATGGGCAAGCTTCCTTAAGAATCTGTTGTTACAAAGTGACTTAAAAGACTCAAGTCAGCTATATCGTTAATAATTTGAACATTTTTTTACTTAAATTTTGTAGAAATGTGTTGAGGTTACGGGTACGCAGATTCAAAGCCTCGAGCCCAAATAGTCGTAAAAATTATCTAGCTCATCAGCGCCTTCCTCTGCTGGTTGACAGTCCGTAAAAGCTCGAGAAGAAAGGCAAGACCGATGATAGCAAATATAACACCTTTTTACATTTGACCTCTTAGGCCTTGTATAGTGGAGCGCGAGAGTGAATATCCAACGTCAAATGTAATCGACATTCGATGACATTCGGTCAACTCGTGCATAAGCTTCACCCACGCTCGTTTGATGGAAGTTTAATGCATCCTGTGCTAGTTTAGAAACAATACACTAGAACGCAACAAAGACCTGTGCTAAGAGCCCTTTATTATCTCATTCAAAGGCCGAGTACACGTTCAGATGTGCACACATATTGTGGCGTGATTGGCCTTGAGTACAATCCAGAATGATACCACACTCCAATATAAGCGGGTCAGTAGGATGAGGACTGCCGATTTGAGTATAAAAGTGGCGTGTAGATACACGATTTATAGTGGACAAATAAAAGTAGTCAAATTCTTTGAAAATATGGTCCAGACGAAGCTGAAACCCCAACACTTCAGGCTCTTGAAGAAATTAATGGTGCTCTTTCCATGGGTTGACCTGGAGTGGTGTTCCATTTTGCAGGCCTTGACAACTCCATCATGAATGAGTCCATTGCTAGTTGATCCCTGTCAGGTCTTTCTTGTGGTATTAACGTTGATGTTGAAAGCCAAAAGGTGCCGATGAACCAAGTGTGTGAAATACTTATCTGCAATGAATAATTTTCTCCGTCGGAGTTGGTTCCAAGGCCTTTACCATGTGTCTCAACTCACCGTCATGTTAAACATAACTGGAGTATCGGTGTGCAACCATTCTTTCAACCCATGAGTCGTGTCCCGTTCGATAGTCTGAATTTCAAATGGTGTACTAGTTTCCACACATGGAGGGCACGTGGGCATTCATTGAACTAAGGAAAGGGTAGATTATGTTGTCCGCCACTTACAACCCATGGGAGCCTCGAAAGGCAGTTTTTACCTCGTAAGGGCCTCAGTTGATGCTAAATAATATATTAAAAAGACAATCCTGTAAGGCGTCTACTGGTGGTGTCTTCTTCTTCCAATATCTTAGCAGGGTCAGCTTCTAGGTGTCGACAAAGCATTTAGGCTGTCACACGTGACTGCTGATGGTTGGGTGGGGGACCAAATCTGCTTGGCAGCACAATTACTACAGAAGTTCTGAAATTTCTGTGAGTTAAATTGAGAGTTAATGTCAAGAACGTTGGTTTTCGGTATCAAATGCTGACTAAAAATTCGGGACAGCCCTTGTAATTTCCTTTTTTTGTGTAAGAATGACCTCAGGCCCCTTAAAGTAGGCGTCCACTAACACAAGTTGTAAAACCCTGTTAATCAGTATTGCAGAATCTAGATGGACGTAAAACAGGTACTCCAGTGACTGTGATGAAGAATTCGAAACCTTTTTAGGGAAATTCTTAGCGACCTGTTAATGTTGGGTGATAAGGTCTGCTAATTTAATTTGACAAAGGTGTAGAGAACAAGGGGATTCGGGGTCCACAACGTGTTCTTCGAACATCAAGTAGCCATCTGCAACGCCGACGGACTAGAGTCGCTGAAACAATTGTTGGAAATTTTAGGTGAATAAACTCATTAGGCATCAACCTTGGACGTAGTAGATGGATTGGTGTAGTGCGGTGTTTAAGGATGTCTCTCTTTGAATGCTGAGAAACGTGACAGGTAGTGCACGGAGAGTCTGTGGTTGATACTGCGTGGAGTCACTGTCAGTGGAATTGTTGGGAATGACGGTATCCACCTTGGTGGTAACCTAAGGGCTTTCAAGCTTACGTGGAGACTACAGGTCTTTTGAAATGGAGCTGATTAGAATGTCGGTAGAATTAACATGTTAAAAGAACTCGAAAGCAGAATGTTTCAGTGTACATTTGGCTACGTAACATGAGTCATTGAAGAGCCTGCAAAGGAATAACATACAGATTCGTATTTCACCAAAAAGTTGAAGCTTTCCGCCACACGCTCTAGCGAACTAGAGGCCGTCTAAGTGGGCATCGCTGTCTCTCCAAAATGGTAGTGAAATCTGGAGCAGTGTCTAGCTCAGCTGTACTTGGCAGCCACTGGTAAGGACGATTGCGCACTACTGCCACCGTTGTGCCCTGTCCCTGGGTGATTTGTGGGCTGAGCAATAAGGTATAATGAGGCCAGTTTGTTATGGCCTTGGCTTTAAGTTCTCCTAGAAGAGGGGGATCGTTTGTTCTTGATGGATGCGAATGACCGGCAATATTCATCCTTATGACATATTACCCTGCATTGTTGACACTAATGTTGCATATATGGGTAGAGTTTGACAAAGTGTTAGGTCCAACAGGAAGGGGACTGTCTGAATTAACAAAAAAGGATCCGCATCAGTGGAAATAAAACTGAACAGAGATAATTGTTGCATTTTTATAAGGTATTATCCTGAAGAATGCTTAATTCTTAACAAAATCCAATGCCGAAAATTCTACGTGAAATTTAGGAACCATTGAATGGGACATTCTTTTCTTTCAATTCCAGGCTTCAAGTTATCGTCGACGTCTTTTCGCCGTGAACTCCAGGGCTAATTCAGTAATTTGGCACGTTTTACGAAAAAGCAAAATGAAATTGAGGTAACATGGACGGCAATTAAAGTAAACAGGTAAATTGAGAAGACAGTTAACTTCCCTGTAACCATGCAGCAACTTAGCAGTCTGCTTAAATTGACAAAATAAAAGGGTACAATTTGTGTACATTGTGTCTATTTGGCTACTAAATATATATTTTTTTCTTTTTGGTATTGAATTTCGCAAGTTAATGTTTGCAGTGGTCAAATATGTTTTATAAATATTGCTCTTTATGTTTGTTGTTAAATCTTAGCATTATACAGCGGTTACATGCAAGAAAAAATTGTTCAGTCATAAGCAGTATAAAACTAATAACAAAATCCAAATTTTTTCAGAAGCAAGCAAATTCACAATTGCTTCATCATTGTTTAAGAGGTGCCTAGCATTTAGACTAAAAATGTATAATTAGCAATTATTAAAAATTAAAATAATTGTTCAAAGTTAATTTGAATCTACCTAACCGATGTTTAAACTATCTACCCAGCATTAAAATTATTATGTGTGTATTTTACTATGCTATAGAACATTTCAAAACTGGCACATGTTCAAGGTTAGATTTGCGTGCAGTGTACCGCATTGAATAAAAACCACTGGATGTTGAGGTCAATTTTGCGTGTGCCGTCGCTGTCCTCTACATTTGTTCGAAACTTTTATGGGGCGAGGATTCAGGTGACTCCAAATTTGGTAGAACCATCTGCATCGATCCCAGGAAAACATCCGAAATGGGCATATCGTGGTGAAGATATGTTTTCGCAACTATGCGAAAGTATTGTTTCACTCTTATTAACTTCTTTAGATGGAAACGTGTATGTACAGGGGGGTGTCGGAACCCCTCATGCATTGTTGAATGAACTAAAAAATTATGTTATGGACCGTGGTTTAAGGGGTATTACATTACACCAGTTTTTTCCGAGAGGGAAACTCTCTGTCTTGGAACCTGAATGTAGTAAATTTATTCGAATAAATAGCCTCTTTGCAAGTAAGAGTATTGCTTAAATAAAAGTCAGCACGATCTTGTCGCGATGCCATCAATAACGGCGAAGCCGACTTTGTTCCGATTTCTCTAAGTGAGATCCCACATCTGTTTCGGAGGCAGCATTTCACTCTTGATCTGGCGCTGATTCAAGTTAGTCCGCCCAATCAACATGGATTCTGTTGCTTGTGTGCTGGTGTTGATATAAACCGTGCTGCTATCCAAAATTCGAGAATTGTTGTAGGTTAGTCATCTTGTTTCTTTTACGCTGTAGCCCAAGTAAACCCAAATACGCCGACTACTTTCGGGGATACGACGGTCCATATAAGCAAAATTGACTACATTTTCTATGATTCATCACCTTTACAGGAATTTGATATTCCAGAATTTACTGAAGTGGATTCAAAAGTTGGCAAAATAATTGCTGAAAATCTTATTGACGATGGTGACACTTGTCAGTTCGGTAGGAACATATTTGAACATTAAAATTTTACATGCAATTTATAGGTTACTTTTTGTCCTTGAAGCAAATTAAGGTATTTGTTCGCAATTTCATTAATATCTTTCCTTTTTATTGGCTAGTTATTTACATTAAGTTAATGCACTGCTATTCCTGAGTTTATTTTTTGTTGTTGTAAAATGCAAATTTGTTCAGGTATCGGCCGAATACCCTATGCAACAAGTATGCATCTAAAGAATCACAAAAACCTCGGAATCCACACAGATATGCTCTCTACTGAAGTGGTTAATTTGTGGAATGCTGGTTGCATTTCCAATTCGACAAAAAATGTCAGACGGGGGCGCATTGTGGCAAGTTTTGTTGTTGGAAAGAAGGAATTATTTGATTTCATCCACGAAAATCCTTCTGTTAGTAAGTTTGTGTTACCTAGCACATTCGTCGTTATAATTTTGCATCACTCCTTTTGCATACATTGCATAATCAACAATGTAGATCTTTGTGACATTGCTTGGACAAATGCGCCCGAAGTAATTGCACGGAATCCGAATGTTGCTGCAGTGAATGCATGTCTCGAAACTGACCTCGGTGGACAGATTGTGTCTTCAACTTATGGAAATGAAATTCGTTCAGGTGAGATGAGTGGGCGTGAACTGTCTTTTGAGCTGAATCACCCAAGGTTTTAATGTTGCAATTTTATAATGTGCTCATTAGTTTAGGTGATTACCATAAGGATATTTGTGTAAGTTAAATTCTTCCATCAAGGAAAATAAGCACTTACGTAATTGGCTCTCTTTTCACAATAAAATTCATTTTCTTTCAAGGTGTTGGAGGGCAAGAAGATTTTATTCGTGGTGCGAGCTGGTCGGAGGGAGGCAAACCTATTCTCTGCATGCGTTCCCTGACACCGTCGGGTGAGAGCGCGATTCGCCCATTCTTGACTAAGGGGACAGCGGTTGTGTGCTCAAGAGCTCTGGTCCGTTACATCGTCACCGAATATGGCATCGCCTATCTGTTCGGAAAAAATTTGCGCCAGAGAGCTCATGCTCTCATTAAGATAGCTCACCCAGACTTCCGGTATGTTCTTCCTTTCCACATTCGCGTGGCTAGGGGCCCTCGATCTAAAAACTTACCTGTTTAAAAACATTTTATTCACATGAAATTCCTTAGTCCAAAGGTGACGCGAAAGTTTTGGCTCATTTGAAAAAAAACTGTCAAATACTAAAATGTCATTGCATATGCACTACACTGCTTAATGTGACTAAGTAACCTTGGCGGTATATATTTGTTACGTAACAGTGCAAAACATGCGGAATAAGTCCTCTTTAATCAGTAGCAACTCGATTTAAAACTTGAATAGAGGGGAACATTTTATTGATAACTGAAGTACCGGGAGATTTTATAAATTGGATTTCAAACCACATTACCTTAACCTACTTGTTTCAAATTTGTAAAAGCCATCGTTGTAAGGCTCCAATTCCCTCTTATTTCTGTTTGCGCCACGTGTAAAAAAGGAATTAACAACAGTCCGATTTGAACATCTAACACAAGGGCGAAAAGTGCTTGCAGAACTTACCTAAAACAGAAATTCATGGAGATGAGAAGCGACACCTATGGTTTAGTACCCTTCACTAAAAGCTGAGTTTTTTATTCTGGCGGCCATCTAATCTGATCTACTGTTGAGTTACTAGCATTTTGGCGCCTTTCTAACATCGTCTGTACAAAATCAAAACCTTCGATTTTCAAGCTAGCGGATTTTTCGTATCCATTAAATGCAGAACAATGGTCTGGTTTTCGCTCAATTCATTGACTTAAATGGGTTAATCCAACTTGTGAACCTGCTTCACTTGAGGCAAATCGCTCGATAAGAATCAACTTCGAAGTCTTCTTAGTGCAGTTACTCATCCTTCTTTTACCTTTAATAATAGTTCTTAGCATGAAGCCTCGTTTGCAATTCAACACAGACCACACACACGCGCACACAGGAAACATTAAGCTTCAAATAAACAGTTGTGTCGACCTGGTCATGTCGCCATTTCACCATCTCTGTTCCTGTGTTATGTAAATGTTACCAAACAAAAGAGTTTTGAAGTAGATGCACGTCACTGCAAAACCGTCGCTTTCTGCATGCTTGGCAGGTCGAATTGTGTAACAGGGGAGCCTCTGAAGTCTGTAATGCGTCCAATTTACATGTTTTAAGTTAACACTGGTTGTCGAAAGACATTTTCTCACTGTTCCTTTTTTACTAGGGAAGAATTGGAGAAAGCAGCTTTCGATATCCTAAAAACAATGCCGTCTCCCGACTGATTGTATGCAGTGTTATGTAAACTTCATATTTTGTTGCCCTATCATGACTTTTACATTTATTTAGTTTCTAATAAATTTGTTTTGAAGTAAACCGATTGCCCATCGTTTAGAGACCCCCTGGCTATTATATTTCAGAAACAGTCATCTTAATTGTAGTGACAAAGTGCTAACTGCAGTCGACTTGATATTGAAAGTCTTCCCGTGGAAATACAAGCATTATGCGCAATTTCATTGCAAGAATGTAATCCTCCGAGACTAGTTTGTCGTCGCGAACGGCTAGTTGAACCGTTTTGAAGTGGTGCTCAGTGTTATTTTAAAAGGGTACTAGCACACAATGTAAATAACAGCAGCTTAAGCACCAACAGATAGACTCGCCGGAATCAAGGAGCAACAAGTGCAATCCGGAACACCAAACAATGTGCTCAAGTTCTCCTAAAAAAGCAAACATTACGGCAATAAGCAGCACAAACAGTGAATGTTGGTGGGAAGTTTGAGTAGTGCTCCAATGGGGCCAGTTTGGCTAATCAAAGGATAAATCAAGTCTAACATGCAAATGATGCACGCAAATCGTCGACACAGCGACACGACACAAGGTGTGAGGATTCACGCCACCGCGTAAAGGTGTCTGCTTAACCGCGGCTCATGGGGACTTGGCACTCCAAAAGCACTGCCCCACCCAAGCGCATTTTAGCTCTAGAGGGAATTTCTTGGCAGGTGTATCAGCATAAGCACAATTTGTGTTGACAATCCTGCAGTGGAAATCACATGCCTGAACTCGGAAACGATCAGATGACAGGCTTTGGCCTAATGAATTTGCTACAAGGGCTCTTTGGTGACCTCGAAGCTGTGGCACTACATAGTTTACTCTACTTAGCATACTTCAAAAATTGTGCTTTCTTCAGCTGGAATCAATGCTTATTAGGGATCTAATAAGTCGGAAGCTTAATAGCCAAAAGCAGGTCGAGGTGGCGGCTACTCGTGACTACGTCCCAAGGAAAAGTTCATCTCGACTACATTTCGCAGATTAGTTAATTTCCGTCGTCGGTGCAAGAACAATTGGAACGTTGTCTTAAATTAGATTCCACCAGACCCAACCCTATGCGTAGGACACGTGTTTCAGGCTACTTTAATCTCATATCCAACAACTGTTGGAAACCAATACGCACCATCGTCCTGTAGGAATCGAGGCGCTTAAAATCCACATGCAAACATCATCGACAAGGTAGATGAAGTTAGCTACTTAGAGTCGATGTTTACAAGCACACAAGGTGTGTTAAAATGAGAGTAGTTTGTTTTGGGTTCCATTGGTCAAGTGACTACGCTGCCTAATCTCAGCACCATCGATCCTGGAATCATAGGTTCGTAATCGGAATATTAAGTCAACACTGAATGTCTTGGTCACTTAATTCCTCTGGCCTCCCACGAAGCTACCAAATAGGAAACTAATGGCCTTGTTGCAATGATACCTTTTTAAACAGACGACCAATGTGTCAAAGTCGGTGTTTTTTTCAGTGGACTGCAACACAATGTGGCACCAGTCGATTCGCTCGGGATTTCCCGATTTTACCTCTCACACCACCAGCCTTGTTTCTGATTTCCAAAGTGCACTTTGATATTTTATCGATAAAATGAAATTGTAGTGTTTCTTCTGGGGAACCGAAGCGTGTAGTGATGAATATGTTAAATCATAAACTTATTGCTCGGGAAGATGTGCTGTGGACTGTTCGTTCAAGGCATTATTGTCTACATTGAGAATGCTGAGACTCGTGTGGAGGAAAAAGGACTCACCTGGCGCTTTGTACTATCCCATTGTAGATACCTCAATTTACTAGCCCGTGATAAGTGTCGGAATTTTGAATGGATTAGATCAATCCAAGTACTTCGGATCCAAAAGTGCCAGCAAGTCACATCGTTTCAATAGTCTAGCTAACCATAAACGATTTCTCCAACACCACTGAGGAGCGCTACGTTAGCTATCACAACCGTCTCGTCGTCGGCGTGATATTCACTTATCTGGAACCCCTAACTGCGTTGCATCCACTCAGTCAACTTGAGGGCGCGCGAAGAGACGAAGGCTCTGACAGGTGAAAAGTTAATTAGCTATTGCGTGATCAGTTGCACTTTGTTGTTTAAACATTAAAATGTGGCATTGGAACGCAGGAGCCGATCCATGAAATGTGCATTTGTGTGCACATTTGGAAAGGTGTCTACATCAAAGGTACACCCCATGAAGCCACTGCTAGAGGAAATATTGAGTTTGATCCGTTGTCTACTTATATTTTGACGGTCGACACTTTGGATTCATCGTTGCACTTGAGCAGATATATTTCCCAGTATTGTGCTCACCAACCCTTAACCGTTAACAATTACGCTTTTGTGGATCTGGGTGATGCTTTTGAGTACGGAATAGTGATTAGGTTAACCAAGATCGGTTTTCCCAGTTGTCCACTAATTTTGCCTTCTCCTATACAGACTCAATCAATTAATTTAATCAAAATTAATAGAGTTTGTTTTAATCGCAGGAAAGTGTTTTGAGTGATGTGACCGGGTCGAAAGAGCCAATACGTACGCAAGACTTGTAGATGGACTGAGGTGTGATCTTAATCGGGCCTGGATCATTCGTTGGACTGTCATTGAAGAAGTTACGAGATGAACAAACTGCTATGACGGGAGTCTTTCTACCATGTACTGCTGATCCGATTCCATCGTATCTCTCAATTGACAAAAACTTCCTTCCTTCATTTGATGCAAAGACAGATTTTTTCATCAAATGGTTGACCACATTATTTTCCCTAATTCCTTCACCCTGTGTATCCACGCATGGGCAGATTATTTAATTATTGAGAACCTCAGTAGCATCTTTAAATATTTACCGAATTCATAACTCTCGCCATTCCAAACACACACAAATAGTCCTTTGAGTGCATTCAACGATTTCTTTCCGTTTCCACATTTCAGCTCCGAAACGTCATTTACATCTGTCGGAACGTAGCCTTCAGTCTTGTGCGTGTGTGTTTATTTGTCTATGTGAACATGGCCATCCACAATGTTGTGAGAAACGGCCCCTAAATCTGAAGTGTGCGGTTCAAATAAGCGGATATTCATGCCAATGCATATAAATTTTATCAATGTTAACACTGATGTGGCCGAAGTAGTTCAGTAAACACATTGGTTGTAGTTGTGTTCTATCAGGCTTTATCCTTACTTGCTTCACCAGGAAGCGAAATTTCGCATTCATGATTTGTCGTAACAAGTATTGACACATCGCAAAACCTGAGTGAAATACTCAAAGGAGTAAAATGATTAGAAATAGCATATTGTGATTTAAATAACCGAAAATTGAGCACGGAAACTTGCCATTCCTGAAGTATCAGAGATCGTGTTTTACCGCATACCAATGTTCCTGTGGTCTTAATAAACGAGTCTTCCGAAGTCTCTAATGAACCTCATTTGTACCTCCAAAGAGTTGAAGCATTGAGTGCAAGAATAATGCTGACTAGAAACTAGGTTTTCGAAAATGGGACCAATGATTTAATATTTGATTAGCTCTCTGCGCAATAGAGACGCTTGTCTACTGCTAAAAAGAATGAAGTTGCTCATTTTCTCAAGTTTTCCTTACCAGGCAAACTATACTAGAGCATGGCTTTCGTAGTGGCATCCTTCAGGTTTTGAGAATTTGGGAGCATTATACCTCTACAGATTATCCTGGAGAATACGCAAGCACCAGACTGATTGACAAAATATCGGAATGAATTAACTCATGATCGCCAATTAAGTACCATTACTCAATTATACATAGCAGCCAGGTTATTCCCCCGTCTTCTTTTCTACCACAAAGGAAAAGTTCCAAAGACAAATCATCTACGCGACTGCAGAATTCATTAGTTCCTTCTCAATTGTCTAAATTTACGGACTCGAACGTGATCCCCTTCTTTGCAAAACAAAGTAACAAGAACACTTGCAGTTGGGCATTGTCTAAAGACACTCTAGATAAATTACAACTCACCTAAGTTGCCTTTAATGCATAGTAAGATGTCAAAAGGGCCCTAAAAATTGTCTCCAGCAATGTAAACGTGAACACGTCTTAGTGACCAGTTGCAGGAGGCTCTTGCAATCAGCCCATATAATAATTCCAGTCATGAGCGCTGCGTGTGAAAGGCCTAAGACCTCCAGCAGTGGTCAAGTCAAGTTGCCGCTAATCTTCCGTCTAGGTCGCTTGTTGTGCTTTTATTCCAATTTCGTCGTTGATTTGACACAATGTTGTCTAATTTGGACCTTTGAAATCGGCGAATCCATTGACGCGTGGTGATTCGAGTTGAATGTGAGAGCTTTTAGCCTTCTAGTGGCATTCATGGCGGACACTTGATGGAACCTAATGATTTATTCCGTTGAAGCTACCTTTGCATTGCTTCCTTAATATGCCTCATGCCCTCAACTGCTTGCAACACTAATTGTGATCCTGTTCAAATAGGCTAGACAGTTGCAGTCTAAAACTAGTCCCAGATGAAACCAAGGTTACAGGTACGTTTCTTCATTGTGAACTTACGAACTGCCCTATATGCATGGCAATTAATATGCTCATGTCACTGGTAATTTAATGTTATTTTCCTCATTTTACCTAAAACTGATTCATTTACAGGGCTGACTCAAAACCCACGTGTGTTCTTTGGTTTAGCATATGAACACATAATGTCTAACGCACATCCATTTTATTAAATTCCTACATCTTTGGAAGCCTACCTCAATGACAAATCAGCAAGTCTCAAAGCAACGAGACTGGATTGGGTCTTTACCTTTAATGGTAGTGTGGGACCAGTTCGAACTGACCACAGGAAGATCTGGAAGGGCGTTTGTGTGACCGAGTGTCCTTTATATACTTGAAAGCCAGAAACAGAGTTGTATTTTCCTCAACTATGTGTTTTTTTCCGTCCAGGTGTTCCAAGGTTATGTAACTCCAGTGTTCACTTCAAAAGCTCGATATATTCTGAACGAATTTTTATCACAGTATGCTATGACAGCTTTCTTCCTGCACACCATAATTTGAACACTGTGACTTACACACTTTGCGTAACACATCATAAGTTTTTCAGTGTAGTCATTGAGCCAAATCATCGCATGAAAGGAAGGTATGAACTTGATCATTTGTTACCAAAAACGGTGTTTCGATGGTTGCATTCGCCTAAAATCGTAAACAAGCAATGAATTCGGAGAAAGTAAAGGCGTTTCTTTGTTTAGTAAGTGTATAGTAGATGCAATTGGGAGAAGGTACGAAAGATTGAAGCTCACAGCAGCAAGCACACGTACTAAATTCTAGCCGACGTAGTGTGTTCACGTTTAAGGAGCAAGTTGAAACTTTGTAATTGCATGAAAATGCCTCATTGTTAACAAATGCAATAAATAGCACCTTCGCTTACACAAACATTGTGGCTGCATTTGGCTGTCTCTACGGTGCGTGTTATTTTGAATAGATGTCATCGTCTTTGCTTCGTGGTACTTTTTGAGTTTTTGCTTACACCAAACTGACATGGATTCCAGCATTACCATGCTTAAAGCCAAATTTACGAATTTAGGCAGTTAAAGATTTGAGGGGGTTAAAGGCAACATTTTGTTCCGATTTATTCAATTTTTAGAGTCTCCTCAAAACACAAATTACAGATCATTTAATTTCTTGAATTACTGAACGGATCAATTTCGCTTTAACAACGCAATTGTAACAGGTTCTCAAGTGCTACACGTTGGGACGATTTCATGTAGAACTTCGAATAAGCGAAAATTAAATAATTGTAACCTGCCACGGTAAAAATTGTTTCAGTTTTGCTAACAATCGAGAAATATTTGTGGCTGGCTCCAGTCGTACTAGCGGTTATGTTCAACAATAAACATTGCAGCATCCGTCAGCTTGATTAGAAAAACAACAAAAATCATGCGAAATCAAGGGAAGCTGGGGCTGATAAGAGGTAATAATAAGATAGTGATGATTATCTACACACTTTAAGAAATTAGGCCTTAGTCCAGCATCAAAATTGGAAACATTTTTTAAAAATGTGCCTAGCCATTGAGTGTGCTTGCACGCTGTGTCTAATCAAGATTTCTTGAATGTTTGATAAAATTTAAACACAGAGACAGCATGGTGAATAAGAAATAAAACCATTACATCAAAAGAACAGATTTAAAATATTGAAAGCCTGCAATAGCGATGTCATAAGCAGCCATGCTTTAGAGATGAATTTCACCAGCCATCACGAAATGCGATTCGGTTAATCTTTCCTGTTCGGTAACTAATTTTTTTGCAAATACTCTGACTATTCATAACGACATGCTAATTGGCAATTGCAGGTAACAAATGAAAAGTTCTGTATCTGAAGAGCTCAAGTTTACGGTGTGAATCTGCAAACTCAGAGCTCATGTTTTATTAAAACGACCAAGCTAAAGTTTGACCTTGATAAACGCAGCACGTTTGAGTTTCATTTTATCACTATTTTCATTCGCCGGATTTATCTGGTGGGATCCCTAATTCCTTTTGACCTTGTACCTTTGTAAGTTGCACAAGTATTTCGTACTGTGGTTTCAGCTAGACGAATTCCGTAAAGTTGTCAAGACTATTACGTTTTGATCTGGATTGATATCAGGAATAGTTGCGTGAAAATACCTCAGATGTGCTTGTGATTCTGATCATAAAAATGCCTTTGTGGATATAAAGTAATAGTTAGTTATCTTGACCAGCATCAATTTTCTTCAACCAATGTATGGGATGTGTGCATTATTATCTCGGGCACGAATAGGTGGTTATATTCTTAGTAAATATAACTAAATTGAAGACCAAAATCTATCAGTATTTTTGCATCTAGTATTTGAGGCTAATGAACATATGGTTTTAGATATAAATTGGTGACAAAAATGCACTGGCTCACTTATTAAATTCGTTAGTGTACAGTGCAATTTGTAGTGGAATGAGCTCAATACTGGAGCTTTCCAAAATGATTTGTTTGCCTTTTGCCACGAAGAAATCTTTATACCATTATCTAGAAATCTTTTAGTTTGCCTTATTCCGAGTGATACAGTGATGGCACAAGTGTTTTATTATTATTATTATTTCACAACCAACAATCAGCGGTGCCACTTGCCAAATGTTAAGTAGATTATGAACATGGTGCTCGAGGTGCAGACCAAACATTTCTTATTCTGAATTACCATCGACCATGTCGTATCTGCATCGCCGAAAATGGTTTACGTTTTAGCTATTTGCTCTGTGATTGGATAGCAGTGCTTTGTTCTATTTGTTTGGAATTGTTAGAATACGGAAGGTTACGTTCCATCTGGGTTGGCCTGTGTGCCACGTTCATAAATCGATTGATACTTAACACGTCGATCAGTGCTGCAAATACGATATAAGTGTGCACGTAACCAGATGTATTGATAAAAAATGGTTGAGTTAAGGTGTTGTTTTAATTTTACTACATTTTGCGTTGCAACCTTTCAGTCTCTCAGTCTTCTATTTCTTCTTCAATTGCAATAATTCCATGCTTTGTAAACAGGCATATAAAAAACGGCTGTTGTGCTAATGACGCCAATTTTTTATATTTGCGCTCTCTACTAGCCACACCTCGCCATGGATAGAGGCATTCGTGCTAAGCACGTAGCGAGTTTTCTCGAATACGGCAAACCGCTCAGTGGAAATGAGATAATGGAAAATCTGGAATCCGTCGAGAACCAGCCGAGTCGCACAATTCTTGATTGTTACCTAAAAATCGTCGATGGAGAATATCTTATCGTACGTGTGGATGGCGATCCCGATCCTTCAGAATGCTTTGACCTCTGTTATATCGATGATGTGCATGGGTACAGTTGGAGTAACAAGGCTAACGAGTATCCCCTGTTGCTCGTTTTTCGTTTCCTTGCTTCCAAGATCACTGATGGGGAGACGCCCAATGAGGTTCACATATTCAGTCTAGAATCCAAATCCCAATTACAATGGGTTGTTGATTTTATTGACGAAGCCGTCGGCAATGCAAAGTAAGTTTAGCCACTTTGTACAAGTAACACATTTTAATCATAATAGGCAAATGAATAAGCAGTCTAAGCCACGGCATCAGCCAACCCGAAAAATGTCAAGGAAGAGTGATGCGATTGATCGACCAGAAAAGATAAAGCGCCATCCAAAGGAGGTATGTAACTATTTTTAGTAAAATAGCCGATTTTCCCAGTCGTCTTCGAGTGGAACGAAGGGGAAACTGGAGGAAATGAACCAACTCTTAGATGACATCGAAGCATTTGAGACAGCCCTTCACGGAGCCGTCTCGTATCAAGTTACCGGCGCAACCAAAGTTGACCGTGAGTTTATTTCCTTTTTGTTGTTAATCCTTCTTAAGAAAACTATTAAAACTGAAGGAATGGGGCCAATTGTAACATTTCAATCGAATTTATGTAAATATGTTGCATGGATGAGTGAATTAGTACAATTGAATATGGTATTTGTCACTAGATAATCTGTGAAGGGAAAAAGGCTTATGACATCATTAGATTTCTCTAGGCTTTAAAAAGCATGGAGATTTCAAGTGCGTGTTTGGCTGTTTGAAATCATCAAAGCATATCGCCGCTGTGCCACTCTATTCGAGGCGGAGAAAATCGTAGTAGTTGTGCGCAGTCACACCCATGAGTAGTAATTAAATTTAGCCCTAAGTTAGAAGAAATGTACGTGTTTCCGAGAAGAGGTGTATTAAGAAGTTTGATGAGTTTTGCCTTGAATTGTGAGTGGTGAACCATTTTAGAGATCAAACAGAGATTAATCTATTCAGTATTCCATGCGAAAACGTGAAAATTCAAATCGGGGGGGGGGGGCGGGAATCATCGTGTTGCCTGTAATTGTAATTATTTCGGATCCAAGTTGGAGGGGCCGAGTTTCACTGAGGAAATTCGCGAGGAGATTGGATGATATGGCTCAGGTGAGTAACCTGTGTGTGTGTGCACAAGGCCCCACGCACTTATTAGGCACAGACGTAGGCGATTGCGTGCTCAGACGTGTCCACATGAGCGACCGGGGCACGCAGACGGCGGCGGGATTGAACAGACTACTGGACTACTGGGAGGACTGAACCACCGAGGTGTGTTGACAAGTGTCGACTTGGGACGACGAGGGTGGATCATAACGAACCTCTAGAGTGCAAAATAAGCTGAGTTCCCTTTTGACTGTGACTGCTGATCTGGAGCTAGGGGCTTCCATTTAAAAAGATTGATTTGTTTGCATAGCGTGTTAACTAAGTCAAACGCTATATCTACTTCCCATTGTGTACCAAATTAGAAGAAAACGGTGGTGAATTTTGTGAAGACAGATTACATACGCTAGTATTTTGAAGTAAGATGCTTTTTAAATAGGTGACTCGATAAGTAGGTGGTTAAATTGAATGGCATTTCACACAACACATTGCACTGACGTGTTGTAATGACATTTACACTCAAATTGGCGCATCCAGCTTTATTGACTGGTTTTTACAGTGGAAACCCTTCTTGATCCAGAAAATCACAAAATACACACAATCTTAGAACCAGATACGTAATAATTGTGCTTATGAACGCAGGCATTGAGGTCACATCTGTACATCCTAATTCTGTACGTAATCGCGTTAGGCAGGTCGATTGCGTGACTTGGAAACTTTCAGAAATGTCTCTCCCGTGGACAATTCTCAGTTCACGAGTGTGAAGTCAATTGGCACCAAATATAATAGCAGTGTTGAATTGCCAAAGTCTTTTTCAATGGCAGGAAGCCTTTGGCGTGATAGCCTTACTCCACCGTCCTACGAGGCGGCAGTGGCACATGTCGAGCGCATTCGGAAGTGCGTCAACTTCACAGCTGATTTGACCGACTACATAGTAGATCCGGGGCCTGGGGAGCTGCTTAACCGACTCTTTGAGTCCCTCAACTGGGTTCAGAAGCTCTGCGATGGAAACCGTGTGCTCCACTACGACCCCAATCTCGTGCGGTCAGTCAAACGCCCCGCTTTCACCGAAAGGGCCATCCGCACACTCTCTGAGTGCTTGCAACCGGACAATAAGTCCTTCTGGCACTCACTCGGTGATGCCTGGACCACAGCAGGGTAAGTGTTTTTTTATTTAATACATAGAAATCGTATATTAGCTGTTTCATGCACTTAGCGCAGTTGGAAGCATTGACAACTGAGTTTCTTTGTTAAAAATGAACGTTTACTTTCAAATATAAGTGTCATGATTGTTGAATAAGATTCGAAGTTGTGCAAACTCTTCGATGGTCTCCAGTTTACTTTGTTGAAGATTCAAATTCTAGCATTGACATTTAGTATTCTTGACCAGCGAAGCGATTAATGCAGAATATTGGTAATTTAAATTTTGGAGTGTAAATGGGTATGAATATGATTGGAAAATGTGTCTGGTGGTCCAGCTGAAGATAGACTATCTTTGTGTGAACCGGAATTTTCCGTATTATGCTGATTCTTGAATACGTAGCATTGATGGGACCCACTACGGTGGGACAAGAAACATCTAGGTGTCTTCCACCGCAAAATAATTTGGTTTTGTTTAGAGTTGATATGTTGTTGTTGGTGTTCAATTATAGCTTTTTTGCCTTTTGATAATGTCAAATTGAATGGGAATGCCACACTAATTTTTGCACTGCTCAAGCACTTGTGAGTGTTGGCAGCAAGTTCTACGATGTTGCTCATGGTGCTTTGTGTGTTGATCTTAATTGAGATGGTGTTTGCCATGGATATCGTTGGTAATAAAATAACAACTCGATTCGTGCTAATCCTCTTGAGGACCAAATTACTGCGAAGTATGCTAAATTGACACGATGTCTATTAATTGCGCAGTTATTCCAGCCTTTCTTGATTTAATGTGGCCTTGATTAGAAAGCATAGTTATGTATTAATTATGTACCAAAGGATCTGATCAGACAACCTCCACTAAAATTTATTACGGATACTCCATGTCACAATTAACAGAATAACCTTTGTTAGTTTAGCGAACAATACCTCCTGCCTCAATTTTTCTTCAAATAAATAAATATTGTTGGTAATGTGCAAACACCAAAGTTCAGCTATGAAGCCCACAATTTACCCTTGTCTTTCATTTTTATTTTTGCCAAATATTTAGTTGGTAATTGATAAATGCATTAAGACTCCTGATGGTTTTGCCATGCTCTCGCTCCAAAGACAATTTAGTCACCGTTGTAACGAGTCAACAAATCCGGGCTTGGTATGAAGCGCCATAAAAACAAATTAAGGGTTTAATCAAGTTAGTTAACCAAGTCGCTGTCGGTGCAACCTTCCATTATACTAACCACACATTTGTAAACTATGACACTGAAGAAGGGAGCTTGTCAGTCAGGAGCCAGAAACAGAAGATCATCTCAACTTCGGCTAAGGTAAGCCTCTTAGTGAACAGATGAGGAAAATCTGAATGTCGATCGGTCTTTTGTATGTATACTTAGGAAATCCGTAAAAGCGACATCCGCATTATATGTATCTTTGTTTTCTATTGCCTATTCCCCGTAAAACACTAATTTATATATTTGGTCATTTTAAGTTGTGTTTTTTTCTTTAATCTGGCAATGTGACTTCAAAAAGCAGCGTGAGAGTTACAGTAACATATCCTGTTGCTAATTCACCTCATAATATTTCATTCAACTAAGCGACATTTCATAAACATAAACGTCATAGTTGAGGAATTTCGTAAACACTTCACGATCAGTAAAATTTATGACTGCTCAACGTTTGGCTGGGTGAAGTAAAAACCTATTCAAAGCAAAAATTTTTTTGATTCTGAAATAATTTTACCGACCTCTGGACATTACCGACATCTTCGAAACCACTGCTGGCCTTACAATAGATAAGCGTTGTCATGCGGATTGTGTGTCACCAGAACAGAATCAGGGGTCCACAGTCATAAGCCTCAAGATCACCCGATCTAGGGGGTAAGCGCTGATGCTAAACATTGTGAGGTGTAAAAAATAGGTTAAGGTGACCATGTTGCTAAAACAATGGCCTGTGGTTCGAGTTTAAAAAGATGCGTCATTATAAATTACTCGGTTACTTTTTGGCACGAATGGTTAACCACTCCTTCCGTTGGTCCATTTGGGTTTTGATTGAGCATTTTAAAACAGTTTTGTAAAGAGAACTTTCCCTTGATTGCCCTGACTCGGTGCTGAGTGTATTTTCTGGTTTATTGTTAATGCATTGGAATTTAAGCAGATATGGAGAGTGACAAAATTGGAATCTGGTACCTTGCAAAACGACCCAGTACACTATGTTAAAGCACGCCTTACTAGAAATAATTTGTAATGTCATATGAAAGTGTGTCCCGTGTTTATTTGCCACACCAGTACTTTACAGTCGGGATAAATGTGGCCATACAAATTCGGGAAAAAAAATTTTAGCGGAACCGTTAACGGGAATGTAATGGAGTCGCCGTACTTCTAGACAAAATGTTGCACGCTCTCACACCTACGCAGTCTGATTTTTGTAAAAGAGCAAGCTCCTTGCGTCAGAGTCTGATTGAGTGAATCATAATAACGCAAGACTTAGTTGCTGTCACTGTTCACGTGTAAGGTGAACTCGCTCCAAGTTATGCTTTTGGACTTCTGCCAGGTGTGCCATTTGCACCCTCAGATCAAAGGGCGTTTTGATGTTACAGCCCCACAAGCATTTCTCAATTAAATGACAGGATAATCTGGAGGCTTCGGTGAGGAACCACGAAATCAATTTTCGATCAATGAGGCATCATTTTGTCTTTCAGTGAACAATGAAACGTTCGTTTTACCACACTTGGCTTAGATCTAACTGCATTTTTTAAAAATCCAATTAAACATGTCCCTTAAAAATCAGTTGATTTTCTGACAACCATTTAGCTAATGTAGTAAAGTGATTGTCGTTCTGAAATTATTTATTTTAAAATGAAGCAACTTTGTATTATAGGTTCAAGTGTGAGCCAATGTACCTTGAGTGGAGTTTGTCTGGTTCTAATTTTTATTCGAGAATCGAACGTTTTTCACCATTATCGGTGGTTTTACACACATGTCACGTCTTGTCCAACGTTTAAGGGATATTGTGGGCAAATCAAATGTCTAATGACTGGTTCCTCCTGTCACAAAAATGCAGGTGTTTTTTTCTTAACCAATGGTCATTTTATGATTTAACACAGATGCTCTAGTTGGATTATAGTAATTACTTCAATGAATCTAATGTTCCTCGCCTGCCTCTTTGTTTAAGGATGAAATCCGATGCCTTCAGTACTGACTATCTTAACTCAACACGAGCCGCCACCGCAGACAGAGCTGTAAGTTGCTTATGACTTCCTTTTGATGGTATAATTAAAGTCAACTTGCCGTATTTGACTAACTAACTTTAACTATGGTCTGCCAATTTTTTTTATAAATTAGTGAAAATCCTCAATTTTAGGGCTTTAAACCGGAAATGACGATCAAGGATTACGGATACTACAGTACGACTTGTTCCATTAATTTTGACCTTACTTAACCTAAACGCGTTATTTATTTATTTTACTATCTATGCGAAAACAATATCATTATTCCTGACGTTTCATATCGATTTCGGCCTAAGTTTAATCTGAGTTTGATGTATACGTTTATTTCAAATTTTTGATGCATTACTAAACTCCAATATTTCATTATTCTAATTTATCGTAGAAGCAAACGTAGCATTTTTTGAAAATATAATCGAACCAATATTGAGATACTTTGCATTGCACTTCATTACGAAGTCTACCCCCTTGATTAATAAGCACAACGTTCTTTTTCCTTTTAGAAGCTGTGCCCAGTAAGTATCGTTGCTATAATCCAATCAAACACCGCCACACCTAGAAGCTGACAAGAGTTGCCCCGTATCTTCTTCGAAAGTCTTATGCTAGTCAAGAAAAAAAGCTGTCGCGCTAACGCGCCCGTTAGACACTTCTGTGGATCTAAACTACACATTCATCATGATAAAAATAAGATTGTTGAGTAATGTGTTGCAGCGTCACATCGATTCATGAGTGCACCAGACTTCTACGACACCTTACGGAATTGCAAAATTTATTGGGTTTTGGGCATTTCTTTGCATCTAAAACGGGAACAATATTCACCAAAGCCAGTACGGCAGATTCCTCTCTAATGTAACCTCGTCGCATGTCGGGATATCGAGGATGTCTCTATGTTTCACAATAAAGGCCTTTTCTAATAAAGTACTAATCTCATCTCAATTTCATTTCAAATTTAGATGACAAAAAGTGCACAAAATACTTTAACATTTACAACTTTTCTGTTTGGCAACAGATGTGTCGAATGGCTTATAAAGTGCCTGGTTATAATTAATAACTTGAATGCATCGACACAGGGGATTCTTCACTGGTGGCACTTCGCCGCGGTTCTTTCAAATCGACACGTACATGGCGCGGCATATGAATGTGTGTGATGCAGAATTAAGCATCAGAAGTAACCGATGTGACCTGACACGGCAGAGCCTCACAGACTAATGCCGCCATTCTCCCGTGCCCTCAAAGACCTTGAGGCGGGAAATTATTCTACTTTTGGAGCTGTGAACTCGTCCTTGCCAGTTTTGGTGCAAATTGTGTAAAAGGTCACTTAAAAGCGATAGCGGGGGGAGCTGAGAATTCCAGTGCTACTTCCTCGGATGTAGATTAAATCTTTTAGAAAATAAAACCTGTATGAAAAATGCGAAAAACTGAAAACTAAAAATAGACTTTTGTCCACGTGCAGAGAAATCTTTTCCTGGCATATTCGTAAACAGGTGGTGGCTTCGGTTGTAGCATGCTTCTTGATTAACGTGTGATTTTGAACAGGAAGTCATTCGCAGGGTAGAATCGTTCCGGGTCAAACTGCTCTCCGTACCACTCTGCTTAAGTAATCTAGGCGTCATGCACCCAAGTAGAATTTTGAAGACTACGCTTTTTTTCTAACACCCACATATTTCATTTCAGCACTCAGCTCTACGCAAGAGAAAAAGGATGAGTCAATTGACATGGAGGGCTTTATAAATGGGGTTCGAGCCCGCGGAGGAACGTAAGTGTGTGTACCACGTGGTCTTAACAGTCCTGCCGCGTTATCAGCAAATTGAAAAAAAAAATTTGTATTTGAACTCCTCAACATGAATGACTTCGTTAGCATGGCACTGAGAAGAAAAAACATCATTTGCTATGAGCATCATTGAGACCAACACTTTTTTTACAAAAAGATATCGAGTATTCCTCTTCTTTCGTCTAGACTTGTAATCGCGAAGCAAAAGACTGTAAGCGAAGCAGCCAGGGAACTCAGCATAAACGTCGGTGACGTGCTAGAGGTAAATGAATCAATTTGTTAAAATTATGCTTATGTTCCACTAAAATCTCTACAAAAATGTGACAAGTTAAAGTTTAATTCTGATACTCACTTAGCATGAGCTAATTGAGTGCTTTTTTGCGGTTGAAATTCTTGAACCGACATAATAAAACGATATTGTACTGCAAAGTTCAATGGGAATTGAGGATTTTTGGTATTTAAAGCCGCAAGTAGTCTTCTGCAGAAACCCTCTGATGTTGTGAAGTTCATTTCTACTCTGATTTTAGTCATCGTCAGTTTAATGAAGGTGGTGCAAAACACGCACACATGTTTAATTGCTGGTTTATAATCGGAAGTTTATTTCTGCATTTCACATAATCCTATTTATTATTGCACAGGCACCTAGACAGTTCTTAGATTGTCTACGATTCCTGTAGTGGTTTCATCAAAATCCAAGTTTCTCTGGACACAAACTGCTATTTGATCTTCTATTAACTTGAGCGAACGATACATAAGGTTAAGCAACAGAGCCGTCCCGCGTAAATTTAGCCAATCAGCTTTTGGGATTTCATTAGAACCTAAGTAAGGGTGATGATCGAAGGCCTTATTGAAAGTAGTAGAACACTTGAGACTCTTCTGTGGACTTATTGCAGAAAATTTGCACATTGTAGGATTATCAACTCATAAGGAAGGATGGGTTTGATTTGTTCTGTGTGTCAAGCAGCCAGAGGGCTGACAAGCTAGAACTCGTTTTTCGCACTTGGCTTGCATGTAGCATTTCGCAATTTCACAGTAACTTTGACATGTTAGCAGTATCTTGGGGTTTTTATCATGAAAGTGTAACTGCCCTGTTATTTTATGGCTGCCTTTTATTTTGGTTTTACCATGTTGGTAATATAGAGCGCATTATAACTCTGACCATCAAATAAGTAGAACTAATGTGATTTGTTAAATAGAACCATCCACTAAAGGTCAAGCAAAGATCAAATAAAATTCCCAGAAAGTCTGGTTTTAGTTTAAATGTGTATTCTAGGTAGACAAATAAACATGTGAATTCGTGATCTCTTCACCATTAAAAGTCAGCTTTAATTAAACTATTAATGACATCTCGATTGTGTCCGTGTGCATTGGTTCTAAGTGCGTTCAAACTTCAAAGAACAATGTTACTGTTACGTATCTGCCTGTTCGAATATAAAAGGAATAAATTGACCGCTAAATCGATTACTTGAAGGTGTGTGCAACTGTAACTTGTGTTTTAATAACCAAAAATAAGCCATATTGAAATCGTGTTTGTGCGTGACATATCCGTCCACTTCGCAAAATATGACGTCCAATCACATTATGAGGTTTTCCATGCCCTTAAAATTGTTTTGAACGTAGCTTGAATTCTATACCCTCATTATTTCAGGTAAACGCTGGTAACTATTTTGGATTTTTTTCTATAGGTTCTTGATGACAATGGGGAGTGGTGTTGCTTGCGCACCCCAACCGGACAAACAGGCCACGTTCCCAGAAAGTGCATCGAAGTTCTCGAGGACCACGTATCAGAAAATAAAACTCGGTCCATTAGCCGAACACGGTCAAAATCCCCTCCTGAAAAGAAGCAAAGTACGAATCGACGTAGCAGCTCCGGCCCTCGTAAGTTCAAAAGGGCTCCTCGCGATTCGGAAGTAGAAGCGGAGGAGGACGTTAGTGAGGAGTATTACAGTGATGAAGGCGTCCATCGCCAGAGTACATCTAGTCGCACAACTAAGCACCGTTCCTGCATGTCCTGCTGTGATGGTGGAACTCATCCTTGTCACCATCATCATCATCATTCAGTGTCTCCGTCACATCAAGAACAATTACCGGTTACACCTGCCCAGCAATATCAGCCTATGAATGTCCAGCCACTTCAGCAACGTCAAACAGGACAGCCAATAATACATCATGGTACGAACGGACAGCCCTCCGTTATTGTGGTCCCAACTTCATCCAATCAGCCCGCTCAACCACGGCCTCCTCCAGTTCACTACTTGGTGACGCAGCCGCCTCCTCCCCCGCAGGCACCACCTCAACCCGTCATTGTTCCTATGCCTTTCCCCATGCAGCAGCCAGTGATGCAACAGCCAATGATGCAACAACCAATGATGCAGCAGCCAATGATGCAACAACCGATGATGCAACAACCAATGATGCAACCCCCATTAATGCCCGGGATGGGACCCTACGGGATGTATGGCACGATGAGAAGGGGAACGCCGAATCCCATGGACCCCTACTACGATGGATACATGGACTACGAGGGACTACCACGACGCAGACGCTCTTCGGCCTCACCAAAGCGGAGGTCACGACAAAAACACAAGGACGGGGACAGGCGTAGGAAGAAGAGCGAGCGGTCAAGCAGTAACAGTTCCTCCACTAGCAGCAGTAGCAGCTCAAGGTCAAGCAGTAGTTCAAAGGAGAAGAAGCACTCCAAGTCGAAGAAGGGAACAATCCCACAGGCTCCACCACCCCCACCCCCTCCACCTAAAGAAGACACCTATGGTATGTGCTTTCCTGTGTAGTGTAATGACCGACCAAGTTTGGGCCGTTAGCAAACAATTTGGGTTCACGGAAATTGCTCGGTTTGTATGTGCTGTGCACATTCACGTCAGATTTCAAGTGGGATGTTGACTTGACTTACCAAACGCTCAATGAAGATATATTCACTTTCTACAGTTTTATAACTTTAAAATGAAGATTTCCTGCTGACCTCCTAGTTCATCAATAGACACAACTTCTACGGGACTGAAACATGGCATTTTTTCACGCTTAAGGGTTATTTTTTAAAGAACAAAGCATTTTTTTCTATTCAACCACGCTTTCATATAATTTTAGATATTTCGAACCAAACAGTTCGCAAACAAAGACTTTTGACACAGATGCCTGGTGAGCTCCGCACTTTTAAATTGTTAAAATGCATCTACCACTCGCACTTACAGTTAGTCTCACGTCTCATGCCTGAAATTAAATTAGAATTAGAATGTAAATTGCTTTCACCGCAGAAGTCCTATGTAAGGAGATTTCCGCGGCCACTGTAAAAATTCTTAGCTAAATCCTTTGCCCATACGATCGCTTTAGAGTAATGTCCATGCAAGATATTCTAAGATGCTTGAATAATGACGCAATCCATTGTTACTGAGTAAGTTGAGTGCGACTGATGGAGCAGAATAGGTTTGTTAAGCCATTCAGTAATAGCCTGGCAAATTATGTAGCCAGTAAGATGTACGAAAAAGTGGCGGAGGAATTTGGGCGCAACCTTGTCTACACCAGACTTGGGTCAAGTAACCTGGTAATTATTTAATGAACGATAAAATGCTGGAGGCTGTAGAAAAATTACCAGATTTTTGTCCCTTTATGTAATTCAATTTTGAAAGTCTGTTTCCCCTTTTCCCTACCTGCCAATGCTTGCGTCGCCTCGTGAAAGGTATGCCATACTATGGAGCTAAGCCGTGGAAATACACATAATTGCTTCTGAACTCTTGTTTCTGCACTTAAACGAGCTTCCTGGACTTACTTGCTACCGAACTCACTCGGCTCTTTTTGTTGGACACCCGCGTCCCCCTCCACTGTTCCGTAGACCTAGCTTTCTCGCCCCACCCTCTCTAATTCCAACCCACTGAACAATGTGTGCTTGTTAATACCTCTTCATTTTCTGAGGTTCTAAAAACCGAAAGTGAAATCAAAAAAATACAACAATTTTCAACGTTCATTTGGCACACCTTTTGCGAGCGTCGCATGTTTCGCGGGAGGGTTGGGGATTTGTGAGATGCATCCAGTGTGTTTAATACTCAAATGCATCAACATCGTTAACACCCGCATACCGCATCTTCATCTGCTAATGTTGGTATTCGTTTGTATTTTTTTTTAACTTTAATTTCATAAACTGACGCTTTCCTGTTGTTCTATTTACTTAAGGCCACAGGCCGCGTAAGTTAGCACGATTTGATGATGCTATTTCACTTGTTACAACCCTGCCTAACGAAATGTCGCTAATTTGATTTTGTTTGCAATAGTTTTATTAATTGACAGAAACACAACTGACTAAACCGTCTAATGCATATTTGTCTCACCAGCACAGTAATGATTCACATCCCATTTTTATCAGCAAGCTTTATCAAGCCCATCAAAACTGATGTATTGCTTGGGTTTACTCAAGCAAGGACAAGTATGAGTCCGCAATGTTGAGTATTAACATAGAATGTCATAACCTCCGTCGCCCGTATTTGAATTGTTTACAATGCATGGATTCAGTAAAGAATTCAGTTGATCTGCTTGTGTAACTGGGGTAAACAATTAATCTTCGAATGAATGAAATCCTAGCCCATTAATTAAAGCTGTACGTAAAAGTTGTCTATTTGTATAAAATCAAGCTATCACACCTTTCTCATTCTTCTAACGCATAATCGAGGATGACATAAGTCGAAGTCAGATTAATAATAATAATTAGTACCACTGTTTATACTTACATTCACGCCTTTGAGTGCCATGATAATTCGTTATTTACCCTTTGGTCTAACCTTTGTCGTACAAGGCAACTCATGCGACATGTCCGCTTTTTTCGACTAAATAAAAATCATGAGTCTACCATGATATCCGGTGTGTTACCTGGTAGTTGGGTATTTCATTTATCTGTGTCCTGGCAGCGCCGCATATGGAGACCATGAACCGTGAGCTGCAAGAACGTATGAAGGCGATGCGCGAAGGCAACTCGAACGGTCTGAAGCCGGCGGGACACCGCAAACTTAATGACTCGTGGAATGCCTCCCAGATGTCTGCGAACGACCCTGCGGCTGAAATTGCCCGACTAGCAAACAAATTTGGCACCGCCCAGGTCAGTCAACCACACTCGTGTGCCACTTGGGTTTGGGGCCCTTTAATCTGGTTAAGTGCTGTCACACTGCGGGCCAAATAGCCTCCGCAAATTTAGTAAAGTAAACCTTTGGTGGAAAACCAAAGTAAGGCGTCAATATATCGCCGTTCATGGGAGTTATTCACGGTGCAAAGACTTGGCACCAGTGAGTGCCGGCTCAAATTACAAAACCCTGCGCAGCACATTTGTGCTCTTTCGAATATTGTATATACAGGACCTGGCATATTTTTCTGTCGATAAGTCGGACTGCGAATACAGTCTCCCCAATGTGCCCACTTTGCAATTTATGAACCGATCTGGATGTAAACATCTGGTTCCTACAGAGGTTTTGCATCTATAACCATATTTTTTTGTTTAGGCAAGTTAAAACCCTATCAGAGCTGAACACTGGCCTGGTAACTGGATCTGTGACAAAAATAGCGCGGTTTTCTCCGATTTACCAAAACTAATTGCTCCCCTTATTGTACTTTTTTTTGAACTTGCAAAGCTTCTATGTTGATGACTTGTCTTCCTCTCGCCTCGAAGCAGTCAAATACTTAAACAAGCAAGTTGTGCGCTCTTCACACCTTTGCACTTTTGAGAAATGCGGTCTTAGTTTGCAGTCTTTAATCGGTATTTTTCTAGAATATCAGAAATACATATTTTAATCTGTCACTCTGAAATTCCTATTTGATTTCTCACTATTCAGCACTATATTGTGTTCTCGATGTGACGAAAAAGGTGACAGCACAACTCCTAACCAATAGTTATAATGGGCTAATGTGACTATGGGAAGCTAGTCAATTGAATCAAAAGCACTGTGGCAGCCAGTTCACATCAATCTTGTTCAGCAAAACACAGTCATTAATCACAAAAAAACAACATTGGCTTTTGCCGTGATATAAGCATTCAACATTTGTCCAGACAAGCTTGTGTGAACTCTCTATGTACATCGGTTTATTTGGTAATAACCGTGGCACCAATGGCATCCAGAATTTAAATTTTACTGTGTTATAACTAGAAATTCCGTAATTATTTTCATCAATCTTGGCTGCTTAAGATTTACTTTGTTTCATGTGTCTTTAATACGCCTCGGGTAGATTTCCGGTGAATATTAGTGGACCTCACAGTTCATGAACAAGTTCAAATCCTAGAAATGAACAGCAGATCGTTCACTCTAACAATCGAATTGAGAACGATCGTGATGTATTCAATAGATTACTTCCGATACTAGTGTGTTTTACAGTTGTAGTGTCAACTTTCTAGAGAAAAGCGATGAACGACAATGGGCCTACCTGACAGACCACACCGGTTCTCATTAAAGGTGTTTCAGCTATCACCTTGGATGAGAGTAGTGGTAATAGCACTTATTAAGCACTGAACAGACTGCGAGATGACTGCAATGCAGTTTGATTAATTTTCAAAGGGTGTGTCAAACCCTCAGGCAGGGTAATTCCAAGAAGTTGCTCACCTCTAGTGCCCACTACAGAGTATTCACGCACACACACACACATTCTCACACACGATCCAATGATAGTTGAGAGGGCATATTTCTGTGATTGTTATCGATTTCTGAGGCACGCTAACTGACGCGCAAGCGAGTGTGAGTGAACTCGTGAACGCTAAGGCATAATTTCATTTCTAAGGAAGTGATTTCATTGGCTAGGGTATTACTGCGCACGTTCACAATAGTAATACCATTTGTTCAAGCACCTTTTGACTGTGTGATACTTACGTAATCCCCAAAATTTCACTGACAAATTTCATTAAATTGACAATAATTTAGCAAAAAATCAAAGTTGTTTTGATGGCGGCCTAGAGAGCATGGAGTTACAAATTACCAGAGTGCCTATTGAAAAGTCACTGTGTTGTTTATTTCACGGCTTAAGTTGGAGAAATAATATTTTACCTATCTATTAAGGGTTCCATTATTTGTAACAATTATGAGCATACGGCGAACCAAACGTTAACTCGCGTAATTTGTCATCGTAAGCAAAGGTATGAGTCTGGATGGGTGTTTCAGTGTGATCTCGTTAACACGCTATTAGTCACTATACTGAGAGCCAGGCTCGTGAGAAATTTGAACTTCGTTTGGCATACAGAACAGAATTTCATAAAACGACTAGGCTGATTCAATGCGAAATAATCATGCTATGAGGTTAATTGAATCAGCGGCAAGTTAGACCCTCGAGAACATCAGACGCCAAAAGTAGTAATTCTCTATTGACTCGGTTGCCCGCCTTGCAATTGAATTTTCACCTACTTTAACAAAATCACCTGTAGCTGCTAATAAAAGGTTCATGCAAAAGAACCAAATAATGTGGGTTCAATGCGCTCTGAAGGCGCTGTACGAACCGCAGCGCCAGGGCACTCCGTCACTGGCGAAATCGCCTACCTGGATGGTTCTGCGTTTTTTTCACGGTGGGATCTTCTCTAACTTGAACTTATGTCCTTGCAAAAGAGTTTTCAGCCAGACAACCACAAACATGGCGAATCCGTCTTGCTTCTGGCAAAGCCACTTTTCAGTTGTACTAGGGACTCGCTAGAGGATTATGGTGGAAATCATGGTGCATTCTAGCAAGTTTTTAAAATAACACTCACGTGTATTCGTGAGTTCTCGATATTAACAAGCCTTGATTATTCAACGTAGCACAGGTAACAGTGAAGAAATCTTCTTAAAACCCCCAAACTGGCATTTTTTTCAAAAAAAAGTCCAAAAATTTGCTGTTTATGGCATACATGAAGATCGAATGGGCAAACAGGGAGTTTGGGCTTTGAGCAACGGCAAGCAGGGCTCTTGTGTAAATGTACCAGAACCAATACATCATTCGAGATTGAGGTTTTAAGATGGTGCCAAAGTGCGTGTAGAACCCTGAGCCTGACATCTTTGCGTCGGCTATTTGGCCAGACGTAAGGACCTGGGGCTACTTGCCAGCAGCCCTATAAGTGGAAGTTGGCAGGATGGTTGAAAGTGGATGTTTTCCTTCCTCAAATATTTCTAACGATTGTACAAATGCCATAACCGCTCACGATAACGTTTTCCGCAAATCGTAATCGGATACCTTTCTACACAATAAATACCGATTTCAAAAAAAACAAAGGTTGAATAGGATCGTTCTTTTTCAGTGAAGCAATTCATCAGGCTGATTGCCGTTTGAAAGCAAACAAGTCCCTCAGTAAATAAACAGACGTCTCCTCTGACGAATGAGGTCTCAATCACTGCATTTACAGCGTATCCCGATTGATGCGAGAACATCACGGCCTCGATGAACTGTGGAATTTGGGCTGACACGTGCTGAGTAATAGGTCACGCCCACGCATAACCCACTTTTGTTTCAAGAACAATGAGCTGGCGTCAGCTACCTAAATCCGGTGAGACGTCAGCTACAAACATGTACTCCGGTGCACGGCATTCGAACCGGTGAAACGCTGCATTATTGGCACTCATGCAACACATACTTTTGGTCTTCTTTCCAGCAGTAAATTCTCGCAAGTTTTCCCATCTTACTGGCTCCACGACATCGACAGTTTTCGTGGACCAGGGCGGCCGTCTCTGCCTGACCCTCATCACGACTAACGACTGGCAGCCCAGGCAGTGGATGGTTGTGTGCAAGAAAAGTCACAGTGGAAAGCTCGGTTTAACTTGGTGCTGTAAGCTCACGCTTGCGCTTGAATTTAATTTTTACAAAACTCCAATTGCAGGAATAATTCCGGGCATTTAAACGGATACCAACAACAAGAAACTAGCTCTGTTTCCAGGTGATGAGGCAGTTACTGTAAACAGCACCACCCACGTAACTAGCGATTGCAAAGTTAGGTTGGGAAAACGGTCGTTTATTTTGATAGAAAAAATGGCCAAAATACTGTACAATAAAATGCGAACTGGTTACTTGGGCCTTGGCGTATTCAAACCATACTTTGCCTTCAGATGATCCAGTGTCTCGCGTTTTTTGTCCACATCGGCTTTTTTGAATTGCTGCAATAAAATAATTGGGTAATTGAGGGGGGGTAATTGAAATAACAGGCAAGTGGTGTGTGTGTGTGTGTGCGCGTACATTCATTGAACTCGAATATTAAGGTGAGGCAAAGGTTTAACTGAATGTCGCCTCAAACGATTTTGAAAGTTTAAAATCATCTGACAAAAACCTGCATCGAAAAAGTCCATCAGATGCCAGTATGTAATGCGACATTTCCAAAGAGGGCAAATTACAGAAGCGGATTAATAAACAATTTAATGCATTGTTGATGTTACCAGGAGGTAAAAGTCGAAGATCTGAAGATCGTGAGTTAAAGTTTTTACTATTTAGATGCTATTCTCGGTTACCCTATTCGCTCGAGGACGTTCATTTGAATAAAACATCCATATCGCCAGTACCATTGTGTTTAATTCGAAAGCACTGACGACACGAGGGCGCGGCGCGACCCTGTGCTGCTGTAACACTCCAGCCACCCGGTCCAACGCACCATCATCATCATCATCACACTGTGGCGGGCCAGACAAACGGTCTAATGCAACTGTGCTTCAACATTTGGCAAGCGTCACTCAAAAGTGTGATACATGGGGAAAATCGCCAGATAACCGAACTCCACACGGAAGTAGGGTTATCTTGGATCCTACTCTGTGCACTAGCACTTCCACAATCTGGCGTGTCATGTCGCAGTGGGGCTTAGAGGTCAGTTCGAGTCTACTTTGAGGACACCTCGGTGTGTGCGTGTGTGTGCACTGTGTGATGACGCATTGTAAGCTCTGAATCACAAATGCCTATTCGAGCAAATGATGACCGAGGCCATATTTACTTCCACAAGTCACAGACGTCTGAAACAGCAATAGAAACTGACACTGGTCATCTGTCACACCAGACAAACTAATATTTAAGCAAGCATAGGAGTTAACATGAACTGTGAAAATACACTTGAATCTCGATTTTCCTAATAAGTTGCCAAATCCAACCCATTATAGTACGAATAAGCTAAAGGAATACATGGAGCGTAGTGGGTGTTTGGCACTTCAGATGAAAATGCACTGTAGCGCTAAAAGAAGGCATCCATGCATGCTTGCTTTTCGACAAACACTCAATGAAAACCAGGAGCCTAATGCAATATTTTAATAAAAAATACTAGCGGGCGGGTTTTGCAAATTCTTACGCTTTACATGCTCCCTTCATTAATCAGGCATTATATTTAGCAATAAAAAAATTTGTGAATAGGGGGAGTATGGAAAAGACATTCAAAGCAAAACGAGTGTTCTCACGAAAAGCCGATATCAAACAGTCTACATCAGCAGCTGAGAGGTCGTGAAACAATTTCGGGGGCAGGGTAGCCTGTCAACTTTCGACGTTTGTCGGGAACCCAGGAGGAACAGCATCTTGCCAAGCAACCCAATTTACAAAAGGGATTTTTACTGCAGGCACTACTCAAACATAACAGCACTTAGAGGTAATTCCGCCGCAAATGAGATTGAAAAATAAGCACTACTAAAAACACGTAAGTACGTCGATCGAGATTGGGTAAACGTACTGAACGAAAGACCACGGGATCAATAATCGCATGTAGTGGTATGAAACTTGTGTATTGCTTTGTTCAACTTATCGCGGACTTTCAGTAACCACCGTATACAGAAAGGCGCTTACTAGACTGCCTCGATTAACCCAAGAGCATAAAGAAACAGAAATGCATACAAGCCCAAGGTAAGTAGCAAGGGCCTCTGAAATCGTTGGCTTTTACCAAGACTTTGACGTTAGAAACCGAGGTGAACAGCCAGGACATCCCACACATGACCATTTGCTTTCCCCGACTCTCGTGCTGGTTGGAATATTTAAACGTTTCCCCATGTGTACAAGCCGAACGATTATATAAGTAATGTTGTCTGCACTTCAGAAAGGCTCGGCTCAAAGTTTTGACCTGAAGAGTGGCAGGAAGCTTATGTGATTATGTGACGTTTGAAGTATGGTTCATTGAACGCTGTTAAATGTTTTCAAATGAAAGGGTGAGGGTCACTGCAATGGGGAGTAATGAACGTAATCCTAGGAACTTGACAATGGATGCCGGTAATGGGTTTAGAAGTCCTATGGAGACCAGGCAATGGACGAAAGACTTATCAAATATGCAAATTTGAGGATTCTACTAAATGTATGTGGTAAGGAGTTTAGGAATTAATAAGAATTTAAAAACAATTGATTTCCCTACTTTGGTGGCGGATCTCATCCAAGCAAATAAAAATCAAATCTTCAAGTACGATGACTGTTTAAGGGTATTGTAAGTGTAACTGTCTGACTGATTTCGAGAGATAATTCCAATAAACTAAGATGGAAGCTACGTAATAACTGAATGTAAATAAAATCTAAGTAATTTAAATTACAGTTCGTCCCAAGAATATCCATTACCGGTTGATGAATCAGAGGGGCGTAACGAAACAGTAATAAAAAAATCAGCTAAGGCTTTTTAGCTATGTGACACATTTACCTAACGGATGAAAAGCACTTAGACAATTTCCAGAAGTGCTTGATATTAGCCTCATACAAATAAATTGTACTTATTAAACACCTCACCTTGTTTCTCTGGTAGTAGAGCACAACCAAATATCGATTACACACATTGAAGCCACTGAGGTGGTCGCAAGCATTTTTTGCGTCGAAAATGTCCTCATAGACTACCAGCGCGGTGCCTTTTGTCTCCGGCGTGTTTCCAACACGGATTTGCCGAATTGCACCATATTTCCCAAATAAATCATACATTTCTTCCGCCGAGATATTGTAGGGCAAATTTTTTACGAGCAAAACTCGGTTAACTTCTGGAGGAAGACGGATCTGCAAGACAAAGGCAGGACTAACATCTATTATGTAAGTCGTTGCTACAGGACACTCGGTGGTATTTAAAGTTCCACAATTGAAAAAATTAGCAAAATAATACAAGTCCCATTAAACAGTATTCACTTTAGTTAAGCACAATATTTCGAACGTCGGTTACTTTTTACTATGGTATATACAATGAATTATTACGTCAAAAACCTAAAAACGCGTAGAAGCTTAATTTCCACCAGGGTGAATAACAAAATTGACAGATATTTGGATTAAAAATTAAAAGCCTATTTCGCTGTGATATGAAATCGAGCTATCAGTGCAACAAAAGCTGACCCACGCAAAATAACCGTTAAATTTAGTTCCCCAAGTCTCAGTCTTTATAAATTATTCTTGGATTACTTTAAGGCTGAAACAAAATTTCCGAATTCGCTTTTACTTTAATGGACTCATAATTACGCATCAGGCAATGAAACGTACCGTGGACCGTTTTCCCAAAGCCATTTCCAATCAAGAATAAGGTGACCAAGTTCAGATTTAGCGGTCATCCATTAAAACACTTTAACATCATCTAAATTGTAAAATGTTTTCCTTAATAATGATACTTTAAATAATTTGCCTAATTTTACACTGTGTGAAGATAATATTTAAATGTAGATTTATCTGTTTGGATTTCAGTATAGATCACACCATGCTAAAAATATCTTTTTTGGACAACGCATAACAGTAAATATAAGTGGCAAAAATCTGGGCGAATTGGAGATATCAGATCTATTTAAAATGCATAATTATGTAAAATTCTTTGGCTACTGCTATTCTTCGGAATATTAGCTGTTTACCATTAGTGTATTTTAATCAAGTATTTTTTGCCGACTGGTGTTTAACATATCAAAATGTGTGACCTTTTCATTATCTTTGAGTAGTCAAACATGGGTTTACTTGGCTTATAAACATGTTACCATTCACTAAGGTAGAAAACCAATTGCCATTAGAAGGATGACATTGATTCTATGCAGTTTATTATTGTCTTTAAATTTTGACAATATTTTTGAGTCTTCCGATTTTGAAAGACTTGAAAGACTTGGTACAAATGGATGAAACGCTACAGGTATATATTTGTTAATATCATGGAGAGGATAAGCACGTTTTGAAATTCAGTTAATCGAATCTATACAGAAAATGTTTAATTCTTTTATGTTTATTCTTTTATATCTCAACTTAGATATTAGTTGCTAAATTTTCATGCAATGTATATTGAAAATAAGTGAGGTTTTCTATTGGGGGTGACATTTAAAGTAGTATTTTTTTTATAATTAACCTACAATATCTTAGTTCTTTTAGTATAAGCTTCATCGAAATACCCTTTGCAAACATTTGTTCTTTTTCCAGGGCAAAAATTGAATGCATCACCGCAAATCAAGAAATATTTTCCCTTGTAATACCGCCAAATGATAAAGTGTTTGACCCAGTCAGAAATTTTGGAATTTTTTTTAAAAATTGTATCTTTTATAAATGGCAACACAAGACCATTTTCCGATAGGTTTGGGTATTACTTGTGTCGTCTTTCACATTTTACACTTAATTTGGCGTTCATTAATGCAATTAAGTTAAATTTATTCGATGGCCTGCTGATAGCCGATCACCCGCCTTAGAGTTGTATGGCACAGGAGACATGGTTAGTGGACTTAAATGTAGTCAGGTTCGTTTCACCGTAGCCATGCACTAATTGGAAAATTGTGCAAGTTTCCATCTAACCACCTTGGAGTGTGCGTCGGCGACAAATACTCCTACCGCCTCGTCCTCCCTTTCACCCTTTTCCATGTGCATGCACACGAAGGAATAAACATCCGCCCAAGGGTATCAACGCAGAGATGCGTAGTTGTGCACGTGAAACTCGCGCGCTTATCATTCAACTCGGGCGTGGCGGCGCCCAAAGTTTACATGCGGATGAGTATGACAGGCTAATCCCGTGGTTTTACGCAACCGGACAGCTGGCCTTGCGTGCATGTTCCGCAGAATTTCCAAGTGGACAAGCTCGGTTATTAACGCGCACAGTGTGCTGTTGTGTTAAATACTGATTTAAATTAATCTGCGTAAATTCTACAGCTGGTGCAAGTTTTGGTATTCATAAAACAAGAGTCATTTAGCCTAATCGGGTAGGAAACTAACTTAGACCACCTCTGCGTTTGCCTTATTTGCTCAGGCACCAAAGCGTTTGTCCAAAAGCCTTATCCATTTTTAATAAACCGTTGGTGGTTACTAAATTCCAAGAAACACTTGAGCGAATTCATTGCTGCAGAAGGTTTATGTAGACTTTAAGGGACGTCCAACATTCGGGTGTGTTCATAAGAAGAATGAAGAAGTGTTGGGGCTCCAGGATTCCCCAGGATGGCTCGTCGCCGATTTAATTGTCTACACTAATGCCTTAACCACGCCACTCCGGTGGGTGAGTCACCCACGGCACCCTACTGACAGCACCATCTGTGCTAATCCATTTTCATCCTTCAGGTCAAGGTCACCATGGACTTATATAAGCGTTCATTTTGTGCCAGCTCCCGCCCTTTGCTGAGACGATTGAAGCTCCCTGCACGAGCTCTGGTCGGTTCTAGCGTCAGACAAGGGATCCGGTACCGTTTATCTGAGTGGATCACGTTTGAGTTAAGTTCGCAGGAATTTTTTAAAAAATGGGCTATATATTGTAAACTATGGATAGTTTGGAACGTCCAGGGGATAAGCCAGTTGCGAGCCCAAGTTGACTGCATTGTGTGCATTGGTCCATTTTCAAAATAATTTATTAAGTGTATGAGGTTAAGGATAACTCATAAGGACTTGACGAATAAACCATCTGTTAACTTAGCTGCATTAGATAACGATGAGATTCCTGTGTCGTTGGTTGTCACAGCAAATGTGAGGTAATCTCAAGTGAGGACTGAAGATTCATGATCAAAGTTGCTAGGGCCTTAATCGAGTGGTGTGCCCCTACGCCAGATGGCAGTTATGCAAGTGCTACCCACAACAATCGACTCATTATGATAATTTTAACAATCACTTATCCGCATTGTAACAGGTGCCTATTAGGGTCAAGTAAATTTGAACAAGTTGGCGTAGGGCCGAAACCGTTACTATTTTGGGTTTTGTTTGATTAAAGTTAAACGATGGCAATTGCGGCAGAACTTGTTTTCCTGATGAAATTTTAGGCGAAACGAAAATATCATCTACAACTTGTAATAAAGTTGTGTGATGTTGATAACATTAGCGGTTCTAATTTTCACAACTACACAATGGAAATTCGTTACTTCTCTTAATTCTTTGTGTTATAAAATAGCCTGATCTTATGATTTCATTTGTCCGCGACCAAATTATTGAATTATGAACCTAAACAGAAAGTGTTAAGAATACACTTTTAGTGGGTGAACCATTTTTCCTTCTTAAAGGAGGGTTCTCTAGAGCGAGTTTACACGGGGTGTGGGTGGAAAATCACCCAAGGGCTTGTAATTTACACCATCGTCTAGAGTGCAGATTTGCCGACAGCTCTACACCTGCATTTCGCTCACACTTACCCGTGCACATACGCGCACAAATGAAGATTTATGCTTTGATGACGACGAAGCGTGAACACTCACCTCAATACAGGCGTCAATTCCTTATTCCAAAACCCCAGTAGGAGTAGTGGCGGAGGTAGTGATAGGGTGGTGGCATTTATTGGGGTGGTCCTCTTGGCATGCAGCAAGAGCTCTTCTGTGGATTGTCATGGTGCGCATTTAGCGAAATCTCGTGTTTGCGCCTCAGTTACGCAATATCAGAGGGGAATATATTTTTACAATGTCAACAAAGTGAAAGTGCAATTGAGTACTATAAAACGTCGGTTCACTTAAACCAATAGCCCCACAAATGAGTCCGTGCTATGTGCTTTTTCCACTTCGCTAGAAAATTGAAAGTGTATAACTTCTCTTTAGGAAAAATTGTACTCTGTACCAAACGTGATTCATCAAGACATCCTCCGGCCTTGTCCACATCATCACCAATCCAATTCCAAATATGATGATCCCAACACCGAAGCATGAAACAATTCATGGGTCAGGGGTCACCCGAGTGTGGTGACAGCAGAATGATCGAGTCACCTAATTTCCTCAACCGGAACCATAATCATATACACCACATAAAAGCAGGGATTGTCCTAAGGATGAATGTACTCAAAATTTTTTGTCTACTGCGCTCTTTGATAACATGACATTGAATTTTGTGTTGGTGCAAGGCCTTAGATTGAACGATGTGCAGCGTCCCATTTACCACGTTCTTATTCTGTTTTTTTTGAATGCACAAGTCTTCCTAAATTAGTGTTTTAGTATACTTCAACCAGGATAAACGGTAAATTTAAGCTCTAATAAGATGAAAGTTTTTATGGATTCTTCTGCAAGAAAGGAATATGCCCGTAAAATGTCTTTAATAACGATGATGGTTAGATTTCCAACTCTACAGCCAGTTGAATCTACCTCTGCCTGACATGATGTTAATCCAATGAGAAACCCGATATTAACGCATCTATGCCTAACCGCATTTCTTAGATAGCCCATTTTCCTTGGTACAAATGCATTAGCCAAATTTGCTACACAGTGGACATTGGTAAATCCCTGTAAACTGCCTAAGATTTGGCTGTTCACCTCAAATCACTATTTCCCTACTAAATTAACCTCGTTGGAAAATACCCTACGAATTCTCGAAAATTCTCCACTTTGTTTTATTAGGCATTTCAGAGAAGTAGTGCCTCAATAATCGTGGCATGAGAAATGGGATTTCCCACCCTTGGTAGACTTCATAAAGAGTTCGTGTCGGTTAGGAGACATTCATGCATTTAACAGTACACACTACTAAAGATTGAAACAAAGTATTACTTTTTTATCGGTTGTTAATATAATAAAAAATCTGTTCCTACTCCGAAAAGTCATGTTTTATGGAATTGTTTGCCTAAATGATTTTCTGTCACAAGAAGTGCCAGAGTTGCAATGAAAATAAATTAATTAAAGTGGCATTTTATGGACACGGGCTTGACTTAAGAATACGTGGAATGCACACAAAATGGCTGAGTTTCATGCACTACACGAAATCCACCAACCTGTATCCAAGGCCTATACCCAACCAAATTTCTAATGTCAACCTTTGAAGTAGTCAGTTTAGGTCTTGTTACTGCCAACCAGGAAAGTTAAGTGCAACGCCCTTTTCTTGAAAATAGCGGAGGCGAAACGTACTATTTAATGAGTGATACCCCGCGGTATGTAATTGATCAGTTGCATTCATAGCAATGTGGAGGCCATAATTTATGAGGGGGTACAGAAATCTCATAGCAGTGTTGTCCCGTTGACACATCACCTTCACAATCATCAAAAATAAAACTTGACTGAAGTGTAACTATTTAACCTGACCTCTTTAAGAAAATCGGTCGTTTTGCCTCGAAGCAGAAAAATGTGTGCTGAAAATTTTGTAAACACGCAGCTGAAGGAACACTC